ACATTTTCTCACGCTGTGTTCACCTTTGCCGGCGACCTTGGGCATTTTCTGGTCGCCGTACGGTCGCGGCAGCGCAGTAAGGACGCCGCCCCGGTCTGACGTGGTCGTTATCAAGTAACTTGTATACCATCTCATTGTGTCAACCGGGAAGTATTATCTAGGGTGAACATCCTTAGATCTTGCATGGGAACAGGACCAGGGTCGGCGGAAGCAATTCATGATGGAGGGGTGGGGTGGAGGGTCTACCATCCTAGAACCACTCGGCAAACCTCAGCAGATTCCAGTACCCTACATCTAGCTAGATGTAGAGTAACGGAATCTGCCGAGGTTTGCCGAGTGATCCTAGGACTTTAGACGAGGGTCCATCATGGGGATCTAGATCGTCCGAGACGTTTTCAGGATAATGAAAATTAATTATATCTGACAAGTTGATGCCTAATACAAAAGCCCAACAAAGGGCCATGGTGTCTCAGTTAATAAGGCGCTAGTCTACCAGCCGGGAGGTAACCGGTTCAAAGGAAGTAGGTGACAAAATTTCCCCAGGTGATCTAGAAATGGTACCAGGTGATTTTTGAACGCGATACTAGGTGATCTAGGTGTGGTACCAGGTGATCTAGAAGTGGTACCAGGTGATCTAGAAGTAATACCATGTGATCTTGAAGTAATACCATGTGATTTAGAAGTAGTGCCAGGTGATCTAGAAATGGTTCCAGGTATTCTAGAAGTGATACCAGGTGATCTAGAAATGGTACTATGTAGTCTAGATGGTACCATGTGATCTAGAAGTGACACCTGGGGGATCTAGAAATGGTACCATTTGATCTAGAAATGGTACCAGGTGATTTTTGAATGTGGTACTAGGTGATCAAGGTGTGGTACCAGGTGATTTTTTAACGTGGTACTAGGTGATCAAGGTGTGGTACCAGGTGATCTAGAAATGGTACCAGGTGATCTAGAAGTGGTACCAGATGATCTAAAAGTAATACCATGTGATCTAGAAGTAATACCATGTGATCTAGAAGTAGTACCAGGTGATCTAGAAATGATACCAGGTTTTTTTAGGTGTGGTACCAGGTGATCTAGAAATGGCACCAGGTGATCTAGAAATGATACCAGGGGATCTAGAAGTATAACCAACTTTTCCAGAAGTTGTGCCGGGTGATCTAGAAATGGTACCAGTTGATCTAGAAATGATACCAGGTTATTTAGGTGTGGTACCAGGTTTTCTAGAAATGGCACCAGGCAATCTAGAAGTGGTGCTAGGTGATCTAGAAGTGGTACCAGGTGATCTAGAAATGATACCAGGTTATTTAGGTGTGGTACCAAGTGATCTAGAAATGATACCAGGTGATCTAGAAGTAATACCAGGTGTTCCAGAAGTAGTGCCAGGTGATCTAGAAATGGTACCATGTGATCTAGAAGTGGTACCAGGTCATCTAGAAATGATACCAGGTGATCTAGAAATGGTACCAGGTGATCTAGGTGTGGTGCAAGGTTTTTCGAGAAATCTTGAAAAAGACCTACTCTGCATGGTATCATATCCACTCACGAAATCATATCAGCGCTTTATTTTTTGTTGTTTGAGATTGGACTGATGTGCCTTAGGGGTGTGCGACCCAGAGGCGTGGTTGCGAGGGGCACATGTCTCCACTGCAAGCTTCTTAACCAGGGTTTGTTTGCTTTATATTTGGTTTGTTATGAGAGAGAGAGAGAGAGAAATGGGGTTTAACTCCACTCGACACAAACTAGGTCATTTCAGGACTAACATATGGTTTTTAAAATTTTATTTCAATAATTCGCTTGTGCGTAGGGGTCTTTAGCAGTGGGAGGAAATCGGAGGACCTGGAGAAAATTCACGAGGTGGGACAGGCGATCCTACTCATTGTCACGTACAACCGGGGGGGGGGGGGGTGTTGTTAAGAAGCTGTACGACAGGCTCTGCCGGCGCGACATGTGGGTTGTCAATGGATAATAGAATATAAGCAATTTTAGAGCAAACGATATAAGTCTTTCTCTGCGGCTTCGCTTCCTAGATCCTTCACAGTGAATATTCGCTAGGCCGCGACAATCACTGATAAGGATGACATCGATGCGACTTAATGAGTCACAAATATTAACTTTTTTCCTCCGACAAATTAAATTCTAAACGTTTGAAGTATTTGTAGGTAAAAATTATTAACTATTTTAGTGTAAATGGGTATTTAAATGAGTAAAAGGCGCCATTCTGCTCGAATCTGTAACGTCTTATGTAAACAATGCACGCTCCATTGATCCAATGATTGACACCGTGTGATATGACGTCATTTGTTGAAGGCAGTCATCTTTTACAGAGCTATTAGAAGATTTTCGTAGTACTCTGTGAAACAGATTGGAAACCCCAGAATACAAAGCTCAGTAAGGGTGGATGGAGGCCTATCCCAAAACATTTAGGCAGTGTCTATTTTGCCAGCAGTCGCGCTCTGATTGGTTCATTTTCACTTCCGTTTGACATGCGCAGTTCTCTTAGTCCTGGACTTGGCAGTTTTCGCTTTGGCAATGAAGCCGGCTATTTTGCCGTCTGACATTAACCCATAACCAAAACCCAAACCCTAACCCAACAGTTCTATTCGTCTTTTGTCTAACATTATTTCTTTCTCCGTTTCTTATAAAGGGACGAAATAGCCATTCTTGAATTTCTATGGTAGAAACTTTTAAAAGAAAATAAGATAATAAATGTAAATTGTAGAAAAGCATTTAGAATATTATTCTATTTTGGTCGAGGGCACATTTCTGCGGATTTTGGTTTTTAATTTAAGTACTAAGACTGTCAGTGGTTTTTGTTTTTCCCGTAAAATCGTGCTTCTGCGCCGAACTTGGAAGACGGAGTAGTCAAAATGGTGGAATATATCAAGAATCGCACAACAGCGCATGTCGAACGGAAGAGTGATGGAAGTGACGGCAAAATAGCGTAAACGGAAGTTTTGCCGGTGCCGGCAAAATAGACACTTCCAAACATTTATGAAAATTAAACTACCACAAACGCGTTTTGCTGTATTAAATCAGTCTGTGAATGCAGCAACTTGAAAGTGGTCGGTTTGGATTCTTCGTACTCGGTTTTATTTTATTTTTACCACTATAGCCTTCTTTTTATGGTTTTGCAACAGAAATAACACTCAATGCCAACTTGAACTTTAATAGACAAATCAGACAGTTGCATCCATAGGACACCAGAAATTTCACTTCCCGAAAAATGATAATGCCCGAAAAAAATGTCGTGAATAACGCAGGCTGACTACTCTAGAGTGGCGCTAGACATTGCTTAGTGCACTGATTTTCAAATTTTATCTTTTAAACAATTTAAAGAAATTTAATTGATGACAAAAATAATGATCGATGCCCAAAACTGTCGCACAATGCAGAGTGGCTTCAGATCAAAAAGTCGTGTTATTTTGGGCACTTTATTTCCCCCTCCCTCAATATTGTATTAATTTTATTTTTTTCACTTTATCCGCCTCGCCTGGTCCTTACTGAAAGATGTCCATAATAGAATAAGTCTGACATGGTGTTTAGCAAGATGGAGCTGGTATCTGCTCAAGGTCGTGGATGCGCATGAATACCAATCTGTTTGAATTAAAAATCTATATTTCGTTTCGTTTTTTTATACTTTCGATGGCCTACACTACATGAAGATCTGACAAGTTGTAGCGATAGATCACGTCAGAGGTCATACCAGTAGCTTTTGACCCTATGACGTCAGATATTTGATTAACCAATCAGCGTTGATGTTTCTAATGGATTACGCACAATTCCGTGCAAAACATGCCTAAAGCTTGCCATAACAGACCCTTTCATTGGCTAATCCCTAACACCATCCAGAACACGTCAATGATAACAACTCTTCCAGATCCTAGTGTAGTAAAGACAAGTAAAACAAAATTTTGAACTATAAAAACGAAACGAAATAGAGAAAGAGAGAGAGATGGGGTTTAACGTCCACTCGACACAAACTAGGTCATTTCGGGACTAACATATGGTTTTTAATTTTATTTCAATAATTTGCTTGTGCGTAGGGGTCTTTAGGAGTGGGAGGAAACCGGAGGACCCGGAGAAAACCCACGAGGTTGGACAGGCGACCCTACTCCTTGTCACGTACAACCGGGGATTCGAAACCACGCCAGTTGACTCAATGACAGGCCTTATGATACAGCGCGCGCGTGCTAACCATTCGGCCATCCAACCCCCCGCAATGAAATAGGATCTGTGTTTTAACCAGATTGCATGAATGCAGGGTTCTCATCCATGTCTCGGATGGATAAATCAGTATTGTGGCTTATACACCTTTAGTCTGACCCACACTCTTCTGTTACAGGAGGGGGGGTTGGATGGCCAAATGGTTAGCATGTGCGTGCTGTATCGTAAGACCTGTCATTGAGTCAACTGGTGTGGTTTCGATTCCCCGGTTGTACGTGACAAGGAGTAGGGTCGCCTGTCCAACCTCATGGGTTTTCTCCGGGTCATCCGGTTTCCTCCCACTGCTAAAGAACCCTACGCGCAAGCGAATTATTGAAATAAAATTAAACCATATGTTAGTCCTGAAAGGACCTAGTTTGTGTCGAGTGGACGTTAAATCTCTCTCTCTCTCTCTCTCTCTCTCTCTCTCTCTCTGTTACTGGAGGCTTTTTCATGGTGTGGGGAAAGCTTCTCGCACAATTCCCAGCTGAACATGTTCATCATCAGGCAATCTTATGGGTGACCGGTACATCTGCATTGTCATGGAATTGGTTGTTATCCTACATATTGTGGTAGTCCTTGTTGTTTTAGGGGGTTCAATTTTATTTCAATAATTCGCTTGCGTGTAGGGGTTTAGCAGTGGGAGGAAACCTGAGGACCCGGAGAAAACCCACAAGGTTGGACAGGCGACTCTACTCCTTGTCATGTACAACCAGGGAATCGAAACCACACCAGTTGACTCGATAACAGACCTTACGATGTCTTCAGGAACAGAAATCAAACACTAAATACGCTGGGAAATAACCAGATTTAAATCACAATAAATAGAAAATATATAATATGTCACTTTAAATAAAAAATAGATTATTTAAGATTATATTTCGTACTATGTTTGTTCCATTTCGACGTCCGTTAATTCTACAAAGATGAGTTGTAGCGGTTTATCACGTGGGTGTAACTTACACACATCGTTAATAATCTCCTGTAACTTGTTAACAGTGTCTACTTTCAAATTATCCAGACTGAATTCAGCGTCGGAATAACATTCCTGTGGATATGAAATCCGCAAACATTTTATGGAGGGATTGGATGCCATATATTTCGTAAAATCCTGTAATACCTGAAAACTTAGAGTATTTTGAGCGAGATTTAAATACATGAGTTTCTCCATCTTGGAAATGTATGTCTGGAAGCGTTGCAGTTGGTCATTTGTTAAGCCACAGTCTTCCAGTTCTAAGACCATCAACGATGACTTTACTGCCGTGAAGAAGGAACATAAAATATCAGTCGCTGTGCTCAACCCATTTGAACTCAAATCCACTTCCTGTAATCCTGATGCATGATGGGACAATGATAAATACGCCAAATCATTCAATCGTAGACCACAAGCAGCTAGTCGTAAATATTTCAGTGACTGTGACATGTCGCACAGGATTCGACGTAGAAGACATTTCACACGATTGTTACTCAAATCCAAACGAATTAACCTCGGAAGGCAATTTAAGAGTTCTGATATCTTTTGTGTCGGCGTAAAATTTGAAGAAAAGTTGATATTATTGCACGCTAAATCTAATGACGTTAAATTTCTCAGCTTCTTAATGGCAGGAATCAAGGTAACAAGATCATCACAGGTCAAAGAATTGTAACGGAGTTGCAGAGCTGTCAGATGCTGAAAAATAAAATAAAAACACAAATTTAAATTTAAACAACAAGAGCTTGTTTGTCTGAGTGGCTGTTTTTATAAAACCACGTTGGGGAATATGTTTAAAATAAAGAGAGAGAGAAATGGGGTTTAACGTCCACTCGACACAAACTAGGTCATTTCGGGACTAACATGGTTTTAATTTTATTTCAATAATTCGCTTGCGCGTAGGGGTCTTTAGCAGTGTGAGGAAACCGGAGGACCCAGAGAAAACCCACAAGATTGGACAGGCGACCCTACTCCTTGTCACGTACATTAAAATAAAGAACTAAGACGCAAGAAGTCTCACTTTCTTATGATAAATATATCTTATTAAAATGAAATGAAATGGAGTTTAAAGGTCACCGGAAAAGCCTCATTTTTGTTTTAAATAATGCAAGTAATTATGTCAGAGCATCCATTCCATAAGTATAACACGAACCCGGTGGCAATATTACCTGCAACAGGTAAATTTCAATGTTAGTAATTTCTGCCGTTCTCCGTGAGTAGTTGTAACTTTCCGTCAAGAAACAATCTGTGACATCATTTTAGTCTTTCTGCTCATATTCTATTCTATATTTCTATGTAGGACGTTGGCTTCCGGAGTGGATCCCCCCTTGTCATTGGTGTAGGAGGGAGGCCCTGGCAAAGGACAGCGTATAGTCGTTTGGATGGGACGAAAAACCAAGGTAAATTGACATGCACACAAGAGAGAGAGATGGGGTTTAACGTCTATCAACACAAACTAGGTCATTTTGGGACTAACATATGGTTCAATTTTATTTAGTAGTAGTGTAAAAACGTAGAAATCCACAAGGTTGGACAGGCGACCCGACTCCTCGTCACATACAAGCGGGGAATCGAAACCAAGCCAGTAGTCTCAATGACAGAGAGAGAGAGGAATTTGGTCTAACGTCCACTTGACACAAACTAGGTCATTTCGGGACAAACATATGGTTGAATTTTATTTCCATAATTTGCTTGCGCGTAGGGGTCTTTAGCAGTGGGAGGAAACTGGAGAAACCGGAGAAAACCCACGAGGTTGAACAGGCGACCCTACTTCTTGTCACGTACAACTGGGGAATCGAAACCACACCAGTTGACTCAATGACAGACTTTATGATACAGCGTGCACGTGCTAATCATTCAGCCATCCAACCCCCCACTCAATGACAGACCATATGGTTTTACAAGCACCTGTTAAACCACTAGACTACCCAATAATTGATCCCTGGACTATTCGTCCCCCAAGAAGGCCAAATGAAAGAAAAAATTAGTAGTTCCCCCTCTTCCTGCCCAAGGACTACTACTTTGTCATTTGTGAGATCCTTTGGTGGAGGTAGGGGTCGCGCGTGCATTCTATTGAACCCCAATCCTTTCAATTTTCAATCATAGATCAATTAAATCCATAGTAGGAAACCATTTAAACATAGGAATTATCAATTTATCAATAATCACTTTAGGAACTATTAAGTTAAGGCCTAGATTTAATACTAATCGTAAAACAGTGTAAAACTAGCATCAAAACTGAGATTTAGGATAAAAAGTAAAGATTAATTCAGTTTTTGATAATGAAACTACCATTATTGTTGTCCTAGGACGAAAACCATGCGACAAATTGTCCTTGGGAACGAGTTGTTTGGGGACGAATAGTCCTGTGATGAATTGTCCGGGGATAAATTTTCCTCAGGGATGAGTTGTCTGAGGATGAATTTTCCGGGGACAAATTGTATGGGGACGAATTATCCTAGAGCCCCCATATACACACAGACTCCAGGCAATCTTATACTCGTACCTCACCACTAATCTGTGTTAGAATCAGATTAACCGCTGCAGCACCAAGTTGAGTAGCACCAAGTCTTTGTAAACACAGTCGAATTTTACTGCCGGGAAATGTGGATACTTTCAACGCTTTACACAGCTCACAAAATGTGGATTCAGACGAAACAAAAGCATCCAGTTTTACAACTAAACCTGGTTTAAAAAAAAAAATAAACAAAAAATAGGCAAAGATTTTTATTTTTATAATCTAAAGAAAAGTTTTTATATATTCAACTCTGATGTAAATGAAATGAAATGGGGTTTAACGTCCTACTACTGCTCCGACTGGGCTAATAAAGAAGGGCATACACAATACAGTGTGCTAGGAGGGAAATTTTGCCTGGGCAGCAGCACTATTGCCTACTCTTATATCGAAATCCAAATGCCAAGAGGTCTTTAATGTGCATGCCAATATGTACACGGGACATCGGTTTTTAATCTCATCCAAACAACTAGACAGCTGTTCATGTCAGGCCCTCCGTCCTGCACTACTGACAAGGTTATCTTTCTCACACTTAAAAATCTTCACACCGGAAATAATAACACAGTTACCTCCCTTGTTTTCCTATTCCCCACCATTGGATAGCTATCTTCAAACGCTTGAATTTGAAGTTGAAAATGATATTTTTGCCAATTTCTCAACTGGCAATAGTGAATTATAGAATTAATAGGATTATTCTTTAACAAGGTAGGACTGTTTATAGATACCATCTATTTTAGGGCTTTATTTCAATAAATTTTAAAAATATAACTTAAATATATGAAATTGTAACTTTAAACTGACTTACATCCGTCTGGAAGTAACGATTCTACGGCTTCTAATGAAGGATAATCACTGGTCATATCTTCTCTACTAGCAGCGTAACTCACGGTATCGTTGTATTGTTCTACTAGTTTCTGCTGACGATTTTCATTAAACGCTAACAAACAATGAGTTGCTAAATAATACAACACAATCTCCGCTGAAACAACAAACAAATTATACAATGATTAATAAGTAAAACTGTAAAATTGAATCCTTACGAGATCTTTGGGATATACATGTAAGCATATATTTGCGGTTTTATTAAGATAGGATAGAGCCATAGAGGGTTTCTAGAGGGTCCACAACCTTGGTATTACATACTTTTACACAAGGTAAGTTCTAATACATGCGAAAATCGAATGGAACCAAGATATAAACCAGGGTTTTTTAATTCATTTTGACATGAACCGTCCAGAGGTACCGGGAGGAAATGGATTAATTAAAAGCTTCAAAAGGTATACCTAATTGTCGTTATTCTTGTGGTAATCACATACCTTAGAATACAACATTCTCCATAGCAAATTACCAAGAATTATTTTTGTTGAAGTCTGGTTACAAACTGGGTGATTTAATGGTATATATGGACTAAAAACATATTCAAACTAATTAATTTGTCATAATTTTGCTTCAAATCCTTCTCAAACATTGTAATTGCAAAGGAATGCCCTGCTATAAAAATTCGATCAAACCAGGTCATGTTTACGTCACGTGACTTGCCTCCCTTGGAAGTCAGAGGAGAATTCATTGCATACATAAGACGATGTTGTCTTTAATCGCTTACTATTTATTAGAAATATTGAATCCTAATTAAATTCTCGGATTATCCACTACCCGCGTCGTTTTCCATCATTTTTATTTCAGAAATTGTTGTACGTCTAACTCTTCATGTAGTTTATCAATTTGTACATCAAGCGCTCAATGTTCGCGTGTGACCTTTGACATCACGCTTGCAGAAATTCCTAATCGTCAGGCTGTCAATTTGGGGAACCCTTACATTTTTGTCCTGTATACGCTCCATGAGTGTTTTTCGGGGAATCCAGTATTTTTCTAGTAAGATTGGATATCTCTACTTTCCATATATACCAAAATTGCCATATTTTTATTGGAAATAACCATCCGATAAATACTTTTCTGGGAACCCATCTTTAAAGGGAATGTATTTCCTGAAGCTGATATTCTGGTGAACTAATTCTAGCCTCGATTAACCTCAATTAAAAATTTCTGTCAAGCAAAATTTTGAAAAAGCATCCCTGCTCTGCACTTACGAAATCAATAAGAGTTATCTCCCATTAACTTCTGATAGTTGTCTTTTATTTTGTCCCAGGTCAGTGACATCATATTCCTGAAGCAACGACTGTGCGTTTTACAACATCTGGATGTTGCTAAATTACATTGAAATTCCTGAACTTATAGCTACATTTTCTCTCTTTACTGCAGACATGTGAACAGAAGGTCCAATCAGAAGTTGTGACACTAAGACAATCAAATCAACTACATGTATGTTGACCTGAACGGAAACCTTGACATTGAACAAAATTTGAACTTTGCAACACGGTTATCTTAGGTAGACATTTTAGCTGGAAAGCGTGAGACCTGGTATTCGCAATGACCAAGGACTTTGATAGGCTCACAAGCTGGATGAATACCTAACCAAAATTAGTGCCGAATTATACAGGGTATTACGCGAAGGTCTTGATAAGATGTACGGAGTAAAAGCAAGATCAAACCTTCTATTGAAGATGACACTACATAAACTTTCCCCGGGACCTGGTCCCGTTCTATTATTAGAATAGTGATAAGTGCAGTAAGCTGGTGATCTTGTCGATCAATAGCGAATACTCATTTTGTGGGGCCTGGTCCGACTTGTTAAACAGGTGCCATTTTTGCCTTAAGAACCAATAGATAATTGTGGTTACCTTGGGCCTGAAAACTGAGGCATGACACATGATCTAAATGATTGCCATTTTAGCCTATAATAGAAAGGGACATAACAGCCTGGAAATCACATAACCAGCAACAAAAGGGTTAAAAATACTCTGATATCACAGAATCCAGAACAATTATACATTTTTACCTGTTGGGTATCCAGTCATATCTAAATATTTCAGTTTCGTTGGTAGACGATTTTTAAGACACTGAATGAAACGATGGACGAGTGTCGTTGTATAACTCATTCCACGCCGTACGATATCAGATAAATACGCATCATTATATAACGGCAACAACGACACAAATAAATTAGGTGCTAATAGTTTTAATGAAAAACTTTCCATTGGCCAATGAGCTAAAAGTACTTCGATAGCTCTGTCTTTGTTGTTAAACAGCGCTTCTACCATCAGAGGTATACATAGGCCTTGTGGCACGACTTGAATCGCTTCTAACGTCATAGTCGAATCTTTCACAATATAGCTACAGCAAATATTTACCAACGATTTCACCGATTGTTTATTATATTTAGTATATATCGGAGCGGGTTCGGCTGTCAAGTCAACAGGGTAGAATGCTCCTCGGTAATTATCAACCCAAACCAGGGCTGACGATGAATTAGACATGACTATTCTTAATCTGTCCGACTGTCCATTTTCCAACTCTTCTTTCACTTTTAGGCTTCAGGTTATTTAGGCTAATCTTCTGAAAAATAAATTTAAAAAAAATAATGTGTTTTGTAAATAAACAGAATTCCATGATAGAGAGAGAGAGAGAGAGAGAGAGAGAGAGAGAGAGAGAGAGAGACCACAAGCTTGGTATCGAAATCTCACCACTTGAATGAATGATAGGCAATATGATTTAAAGCACTGGACTCCACCATTATATACAGGCCTGGAAATAAGGGTTTAGATGTACCTGAGGAAATGTCAAGCACTTATGAAATAATACCTGACATTTTCAACTAAATACTGCCGGATATGTATTAATAATATCAATAAAAAAAAACAAATCAGTGCCGGACAAAATGACAGGCACCAGAGGTTTTGTGTCTGACAAAGCCTGAATCTGGACACAAACTAGGTCATTTCGGGACTAACATATGGTTTAATCTTATTTAACATAAGAGCACTGACTCAATAAGTCTAACCGAGGAGTTCCTGAGACAGTTTCTGGGGACTTACTGCCATGGTCAGGATGTAGGGCATGGCACTAGCGTCTGTCTAATCTGTCGGATGAGACAAGCAACCTAGATCCCGTGTACACATTGGCATGTGCATAATAGGCGGTGGCCAGATGCATAGGCGTACGAGCTGGGGGGGGGGGGGGCAGCCGCCCCCCATTTTGGGCACCAAATGCTGGGAAAATTTGGGCACACAATTGTACTTTGTAAAAGTTGTATGAAAAAAAATATTGTGTTCTTGAATGTGTCCAATTTAACAGCGAATTTATTATTATTATAATATGTAACATACTAAGAACCTAACTACATTTTTTGGGCACCAACCACCACCACCCCCCCCCAGTCAAAAATTTCCCCGTACGCCTATGGTCAGATGTATTGGTCACAGGATCGCTGGTGTGTTACTGAAAGCGATTATATTTATAATTATTGCCAAATAGGAATTATTTATAAAAATTTATTCATTGTTGACATCTGGTGAAATGAATGATGCTTCCAAGGGTTTGATTGATAGACACAAAAATTACATAAATTAGCCTTCATTCTAATACAAAAACTTGCAGATTTTGTATCCAAATGATTTATCAAAGCACAAAAAATAAGAAATAAATAAAACAGAATTACGTCGCACCCCATTAATGATTGAATGAGAAGGGAAGCAACTCTAATAACATAGTCTCGTTCGTCATGTTTTGAATGAATAAAAAATAAATACTGGATGATCACAACTACCTGCGGACGAGGAACATGGCGGGAGATTGGAAGTGTATTTTTGTTTACTAAATAAATCCGTCGCGATGAGGCGGTCAGCGGCACCAAGTCAGATTAATCCAGCCAAGAGACCTAAATTTTCTGTTCCGTATAAAAATGTAAATTCAATCAATGTCAGTAAAAGCAAGGAGGTAATGATTAATCAATGTTTAGAAATGGCCTTTATTAACTTAGTCCTTCGGAAGGCATTCACCTTCAAAACTCCTACCGGTACCATTGTACCAAAATAATTTTATGATAGTTTAAATATGATAGTTGGACTTGGCCTAATTAAGTGTAGTCCTTTGGAAGGGATTCACATTCAAACCTACCTAAATTAATTTTTGAAAGTGAAAATTATAATTTTAATTTGTAATATTTGTATGGAGACTGGAGTTGTAGACTAAAATAAATGAAAAGCGGCCAAAGTTTCTCAGGATTTTCCAGCGTTATTTTGCCTTGTCTACCATGCTGTAAGATGGTGGGCCTCGCATGGTGTTTCTAGTCATTTGGATATGGTAGAAAAAACTGACGTTTCATTTACACCTTGGTGTGCACTTAATAGAGCCTTTGACCTTGACTTGAGTTTGATGAAGGGTAGGCAGAAACACGTCTGACTCTGTTCAAGCTAATTATAAATTCCCCTGGGCCTCATAAGTATAACACACTGTGTGTAATATGCCTATCTTCATTAGCCCAAAGTACAATGTTAAGTCCATTTCATTTTTAAAGTAAGTAGGCCTACATGCAGGCCTGTAACTAGGGAGGTGGGCCCCCCTCCCCCTCCCCATCTGAATAAATTTTAAACCATAAAAAAAAAAAATAGCTATACATTGTCCGTCAATTTTACAGCACCCCTGAGAACACTTTCCGCCCCCCCCCCTCGTTGCTCTGAGCTAGTTACGGACCTGCCTACATGTATCAGTCTCATTGTTAAAGGCTCACTTCCCTATAGGCCTACCAATCACCTCACATGCCAGCAGCATCCATTGCCATCAAATACGAATGAATGAAATGAAATGAAATGAAATGAAATGAAATGAAATGGGGTTTAACGTCCTACTGTTCTGCTCCTAACCTGGGCTAATGAAGACGGGCATACGCCATACAGTGTGCTATGAGGGAAATTTTGCCCGGACAGCGGCACTACGGCCTACTCTTATATCGAATTCCAACTGCCAAGGGATCTTTTACGTGCACGCCAATGTGTACACGGGACCTCGGTTTTTCGGCCCATCCGAACGACTAGACAGCTTTCCTTGTCAGCCCCTCCGTCCTGCATCACTGACAAGGGAGAACCACGCCGGAAAATCTGGATGAACTTTCTCGGCCAATGCAGGGATCGAACACCTGACCTCCAGGCACGAATGAATCAAGGAAACCTGAAACATCACAGTTATTGAGGATGCTCAATATCTATCTGATTATCTCTGTTTCAAAACCTATTTATTTCATTTTTTTTTTTTCAAGGCAGATGAAATCCCAGAATTCAATACATCAAATAATAATCAACACTGTGTCATCAAAAACAAGTAAGAGATTTTATTTTCCCCTCAACTATCTACCATTAACTTGAAAACGTGACCTGTATGTGTTACGAAACATTGTTATTAAATAATAGAGAACTAGTTATATCCATGCAGGGATGTGCCTACTATTACAATTACTGGGCGGCACCGCCCAGCACCAATATTGTCCGCCCGGCAAAAATATCTTGACATAGATTTCCGCCCACCTCCATTTTCTTGTAAAGAAAGATAATCCAAATTGGTAAAAGCGTTTTTATTTGTTGTTTTTAACCTCATAAATTGAATAAATTATTTTGACTCGCGTCAAACTGACCTCGTATCATAGACATCTAAATATAACATTCGTTTTCGACGAAATATATTACTTTCGATTTCTTATTTGACGCGCAGAGTTATCTGATATTTAGACTCTTATTAACTGGTCACATCAGTGCGATGTAACTAGCATGACTGGTTAAACTAGCCTACAGCACCGTTATTGTTTAAAAATAGCACTAGCAGATGACTATTTTTGCTATTTAAACTATTTTTATAGTAGATGCGTAGATGGTCAGTGTGAAATTCATAATTGTTACAAAATTGGCTACTAGTGCTACCTGACATCCAACCATTTGAGTAGGCGTATACGTTCCATGGTACGACTGAATGAATGCCGACTTGTGTTTTCGATAGAAAAATACAGTCACGAGAACTGAGGAAAGAAACAAAACAATAATTAATAAATTCCTATTTTCGATTATGCCGTGGATTACGCAGGTTTACAACGGTGGTTTCAGTGTCAACATTGGCAAATTGCCGTTGTCATATTCCTAAATAAATTACCACGGCTAAAGATGCCGCCCGTAGTTCTTATTTATTTTCTACGGTAATTTCACTAAATACTACGGCGCGGTGCCGTAGTGAATTTTGACCCCTGGACTCGTGAAAATGCGCATTTTCGATCAAAAAAAACTCGATAATTTTCTGCCGAAGATTACCGCCCGGCATGAATATTTTTCTGGGCACATCACTGTCCATGTTGTATCATAAGGTCTGTCATTGAGTCAACTGGTGTGGTTTCGATTCACCGGTTGTACGTGACAAGGAGTAGGGTCGTCTGTCCAACCTCGTGGGTTTTCTCCAGGTTCTCTGGTTTCCTCCCACTGCTAAAGACCCCTACGCGCAGGCGAATTATTGAAATCAAATTGAACCATATCTTAGTCCTGAAATGATCAATCTCTCACTCACTTTCTAAATTTATTTTTTCAGTCACATAGAAGAAAGCCATGTTGTAAAAAATACATCTTTTAATAAAGTATTAAAATCATCAGTACCAAGATGTCCTCTAACTTCTCTTCAATCGATGCCACAATATCCCAGTAAGCCTGCTTTTAAACCAGGTAATAATACGAGAAATGTTATACCCAATTCTTTTTGATGAAATGAGCCAAGAAAGTCCATCAGGCTTTTCCAGCGTAGTTCCCCTTTGTCAGAGGTGTAGGACAGAGGGCCTGGCAAAGGACAACGTACACATAGACGTGCATCTAAAAGATATCGTGGCAGTTGAAATTCGATATAAGAGTAGTGCCACTGTCTCGGCAAAATCTCCCACATAGCACACTGTATGGCATTGAGTCAACTGGCGTGGTTTCGATTCCCCTCTTGTATGTGACAAGGAGTAGGGTTGCCTGTCCAACCTCGTAGGTTTCATTCACTTCTTCTATTCCTCCCACAGTTAAAGACCCCTATGAGCTAACGAATTATTAAAAAAGTTATCTATACTAATATTTGAGACTGTGGCTGGTTTGTCTGTCTGTCTGTTCAGGGTTGGTGGCTAAACTAGGGCTGTCCCGAGGCTGAAATTTGGTGTATAGGGTTAGCTCGGACTGGGGAGGAACATGGACTAGGTGGCGTTGGCCTACCACTTCTGGTTTCAGAGTTATAGGCACCACCCTGGGTCATCCGCTAGTATCATATATTTGTGCCAAAATGACCTGTCGATCTCTCTCTCTCTCTCTCTCTCTCTCTGGATATCATTTCTTATAGTACAGGTAATATTTTATTAGGGCTGGATATCATTTCTTATAGTACAGGTAATATTTTATTAGGGCTGGATATCATTTCTTTTTCAGTAAGAATAAATAAACAGGTGAATAATGATGAACCGTCAAATATAGAAGCGAAAGAAAGACAATATTTTAATGTTGTTTGGTGTAAACGATCAGCAAAAAAGGTAAATAAAAATGCAATCATTTGGATTCCTACACAGTTAAAAAGTACACCAAGTGGGCTTGTATCATAAGATCTGTCATTGAGTCAACTGGTGTGGTTTCGATTCCTTGGTTGTACCTGTCCAACATCGTGGGTTTTCTCCGGGTCCTCCGGTTTCCTCCCACTGCTAAAAGATCCCTACAAGCAAGCAAATTATTGAAATAAAATTGAACCATATGCTAATCCCCAAATGACCTAGTTTGTGTCGAGTGGACGTTAAACCCCCTCTCTCTCTCTCTCTCTCTCTCAGAAGAGCGGCTATATACAAGGGTCAAGAGAGCTTGACCTCTAAGTTTGAATCTTCGAATCTTGACATGTTCTGAGGTGAATCTCAAGACGTTTCAAACCAGTTTATCAGGGATATCGCCTACGGGGCTGAGGGGTAATGTGTTGCCTCGTTGTTCAATGAAATTGAAAATGAAGGTCCATTTACGCTGGCAAGCATGAAGCGAGAACTGTCAACATTTTATCTAATCTCCCATAATATCCCTTTAAGTTTTGCAGTTTGACACTCTTTTCCATGTTCAGATTGTACATTTCAGCGACGAGGGATAATAAATTCTCTTTCTTATTTTTTACATAGAATAATGTTTGATTTTCTGTTTGTTTATTTTTCAGCACAAGAAATGGGAAGGTGATGGTAAGATATTTCTTATTGATTGAATGATTAATTTTCACGGAAGATGTTAACATTTCTGTTGGCACGGAAACCCTAGGTACTTATGTGATCAAATTATGTCATGTTTCAACATCAGATCTGTATATATTTCTTATTTATTGTGAGGGGTGGGTTGGATGGTCGAATGGTTAGCGCATGCGCGTTGTATCATAATGTCTGTCATTGAGTCAACTGGTGTGGTTTTGATTTGTCGGTTGTATGTGACAAGGAGTAGGGTCGCATGTCCAACCTCATGGGTTTTCTCCGGGTCTATTTGTTTCCTCCCACTGCTAAAGACCCCTATGCGCAACCGAATTATTGAAATAAAATTAAACCATATGTTGGTCCCAAAATGACCTAGTTTGTGTCAAGTGGACATGAAACCCCATTTCTCACTCTCTCTCTCTCTCTCTCTCTCTTATATATTGTGAATCTAGTGTTGTAATGTAGTTTTGTTTTATTATTTTAGCTATATTAGTAACTTGTGGTAGAAGTGTTGTAATGTAGTTTTGTTTTATTATTTTAGCTATATTAGTAACTTGTGGTAGAAGTGTTATAATGTAGTTTTGTTTTATTATTTAAGCTATATTAGTAACTTGTGGTAGAAGTGTTGTAATGTAGTTTTGTTTTATTATTTTAGCTATATTAGTAACTTGTGGTAGAAGTGTTGTAATGTAGTTTTGTTTTATTATTTTAGCTGTATTAGTAACTTGTGGTAGAAGTGTTGTAATGTAGTTTTGTTTTATTATTTTAGCTATATTAGTAACTTGTGGTAGAAGTGTTATAATGTAGTTTTGTTTTATTATTTTAGCTGTATTAGTAACTTGTGGTAGAAGTGTTGTAATGTAGTTTTGTTTTATTATTTTAGCTATATTAATAACTTGTGGTAGAAGTGTTGTAATGTAGTTTTGTTTTATTATTTTAGCTGTATTAGTAACTTGTGGTAGAAGTGTTGTAATGTAGTTTTGTTTTATTATTTTAGCTATATTAGTAACTTGTGGTAGAAGTGTTGTAATGTAGTTTTGTTTTATTATTTTAGCTGTATTAGTAACTTGTGGTAGAAGTGTTGTAATGTAGTTTTGTTTTATTATTTTAGCTATATTAGTAACTTGTGGTAGAAGTGTTATAATGTAGTTTTGTTTTATTATTTTAGCTGTATTAGTAACTTGTGGTAGAAGTGTTGTAATGTAGTTTTGTTTTATTATTTTAGCTATATTAATAACTTGTGGTAGAAGTGTTGTAATGTAGTTTTGTTTTATTATTTTAGCTGTATTAGTAACTTGTGGTAGAAGTGTTGTAATGTAGTTTTGTTTTATTATTTTAGCTATATTAGTAACTTGTGGTAGAAGTGTTGTAATGTAGTTTTGTTTTATTATTTTAGCTGTATTAGTAACTTGTGGTAGAAGTGTTGTAATGTAGTTTTGTTTTATTATTTTAGCTATATTAGTAACTTGTGGTAGAAGTGTTATAATGTAGTTTTGTTTTATTATTTTAGCTGTATTAGTAACTTGTGGTAGAAGTGTTGTAATGTAGTTTTGTTTTATTATTTTAGCTATATTAATAACTTGTGGTAGAAGTGTTGTAATGTAGTTTTGTTTTATTATTTTAGCTGTATTAGTAACTTGTGGTAGAAGTGTTGTAATGTAGTTTTGTTTTATTATTTTAGCTATATTAGTAACTTGTGGTAGAAGTGTTGTAATGTAGTTTTGTTTTATTATTTTAGCTGTATTAGTAACTTGTGGTAGAAGTGTTGTAATGTAGTTTTGTTTTATTATTTTAGCTATATTAGTAACTTGTGGTAGAAGTGTTATAATGTAGTTTTGTTTTATTATTTTAGCTGTATTAGTAACTTGTGGTAGAAGTGTTGTAATGTAGTTTTGTTTTATTATTTTAGCTATATTAATAACTTGTGGTAGAAGTGTTGTAATGTAGTTTTGTTTTATTATTTTAGCTGTATTAGTAACTTGTGGTAGAAGTGTTGTAATGTAGTTTTGTTTTATTATTTTAGCTATATTAGTAACTTGTGGTAGAAGTGTTGTAATGTAGTTTTGTTTTATTATTTTAGCTATATTAGTAACTTGTGTTAGAAGTGTTGTAATGTAGTTTTGTTTTATTATTTTAGCTATATTAATAACTTGTGGTAGAAGTGTTGTAATGTAGTTTTGTTTTATTATTTTAGCTATATTAGTAACTTGTGGTAGAAGTGTTATAATGTAGTTTTGTTTTATTATTTTAGCTATATTAGTAACTTGTGGTAGGAGTGTTGTAATGTTGTGTTTTATTATTTTAGCTATATTAGTGACTTGTGGTAGAAGTGTTGTGTTGTTTTATTATTTTAGCTATATTAACAAATTGTGGTCGAAGTGTAAAAATGTTGTTTTGTTTTATTATTTTAGTTATTTAAGTAACTTGTGGTAGAAGTGTTGTAGTGTAGTGTTTTATTATTTTAGCTATATTAGTAACTTGTGTTGTTTTATTATTTTAGCTATATTAGTAACTTGTGGTAGAAGTGTTCAACTGTATGATGTAGAAGGGAAAGAGTAAGTAGATTTGATCCATTTAAACTTTGTTAATCTCTTACATAATTAAGCCTGGAAATAAGGCACCTGTCACAGACAATGTCAGGCACAGATTCAGACTTTGTCAGGCACTAAACCTCTGGTGCCTGTCTTTTTGTCCGGCACTGATTTGTTTTTTTTATTGATATTATTAATACATGTCTGGCAATAAGTTGAAAATGTCAGGTATTATTTCATTAGTGCCTGACATTTTGTCAGGTACATCTAAACCCTTATTTCCAGGCCTGTACATAATGGTGGAGTCCAGTGCTTTAAATCATATTGCCTATCATTCATTCAAGTGGTGAGATTTTGATACCAAGCTTGTGGGCTCTCTCTCTCTCTCTCTCTCTCTCTCTCTCTCTCTCTCTCACTTGATGAACATCGAAACAACTTTTAATACAAATGGCACCAAAAGAAGAAATGTTGGGGGGTGGGGGTGGGGGGTGGATGGCAGAATGGTTAGCACGTGCGCGTTGTACCATAAGGTCTGTCATTGAGTAAACTGGCGTGGTTTCGATTCCCCGGTTGTATGTGACAAGGAATAGGGTCGCCTGTCCAACCTCCTGGGTTTTCTCCGGTTTCGTCCCACTGCTAAAGACCTCTACGCTCAAGCGAATTATTGATATAAAATTGAACGGTATGTTAGTCCTGAGATGACCTAGTTTGTGTCGAGTGGACGTTAAACCTTATTTCTCTCTCTCTCATCGTGTTCTGCCAATGAGTAAGTGGAATTATTTGCTGATTCGATGTTAAATTTAAACTCCATTTTTTTCCCGTTGATAGAATAGGAAAAGCCACTGGTTATAAAAAAGCAGAATTGGAAAGTTTACAAGAAGATGAGAAGCTGCCGATTGGAAGTCGGGAGATTCTGGTATAGATATTTTAAACCATTTAAACTCCATTTCAATGATTTTATTCATATTATTATTATTATGGTACTTTTTATAGAAGTTCTTTCACATAAGTGCCCAGATGTGCAATGAATAAATAAATAAATAAAATTAAAAATTGTACAACACTTAAAGATGGGTTCCCGCGTACAAACTTGGTGATTTAATGGTATATATGGACCAAAAACATTTTCAAACTAATTAATTTGTCATAATTATGCTTCAATCAAATCCTTCTCAAACATTGTAATTATGAAGGAATGCCCTGCTATTAAAATTCGATCAAACCAGGTCATGTTTACGTTACGTCTTGGGAGTCAGAGGAGAATTCATTGCATACATAAGACGATGTTGTCTTTAATCGCTTACTATTTATTACAAATATTGAATCCTAATTAAATTCTCGGATTATCCACTACCCGTGTCTTTTTCCGTCATTTTTATCTCAGAAAGTATTGTACGTCTAACTCTTCATAAAGTTTATCAACTTGTACATCAAGCGCTCAATGTTCGCTTGTGACATTTGACATCGCGCTTGCAGAAGTTCTTAATCGTCGGGCTGTTGATTAGGGGAACCCTTACATTTTTGTCCTGTATACGCTCCATTAGTGTTTTTCTGGGAATCCAGTATTTTTCTAGTAAGATTGGATATCTCTACTTTCCATATATACCAAAATTGCCATACTTTTATTGGAAATAACCACCCGATAAATACTTTTCTGGGAACCCATCTTTAAAAAGAGGTCTAAATGGTAAAAAATCAAAAAGGAGTTAAAAAGAGTTATAAAAGGTAATTTTAAAATGATGCGTTTAGAGTTTTGATTTAAAGAATTACAACATCATAATTGATGGGGCAGCTTGTTCAATAGTTTAGGTACTTTATATGAAAAGGGCTTTTCTCTATAAGAAACTTGTTTGGCATTACTTTCAATTAGAATGAAATATTATATTTAATATTATGCTTAATGTTTATTTTATTGTTTGAATATTTAAAGTAATACTTTAAATACTTTTCGAATATATTTAATTCAATTTAAATGATCAATTTAAGACCAGATTTGGTGCATTTTCAGATGTTTTATTGTTGAATATTACAAGGGGGGGTTGGATGGCCAAATGGTTAGCACGTGCGCGCTGTATCATAAGGCCTGTCATTGAGTCAACTTGCGTGGTTTCGATTCCCCGGTTGTACATGACAAGGAATAGGGTCGCCTGTCCAACCTCGTGGGTTTTCTCCGGGTCCTCCGGTTTCCTTCCACTGCTAAAGACCCCTATGTGCAAGCGAATTATAGAAATAAAATTGAACCATATGTTAGTCCCGAAATGACCTAGATTGTGTCAAGTGGAGGTTAAACCCCATTTCTCTCCCTCTGAATATTACAATGTGGTTGAATCTATTAAATTAATACAACAACCTTGAATCAACTAAAATCTAACAGGGGATAGCTATTTTGTTACATTTTGAAAATATGTCAGTATTAACAGAACAATATTTGGTTGTATTTTGTAGATAATGTCTGTATTAACAGAGGGGATAGCTATTTTGTTACATTTTGAAAATATGTCAGTATTAACAGAACAATATTTGGTTGTATTTTGTAGATAATGTCTGTATTAACAGAAGAACAATATTTAAGTGGTAAATGTTTTTCGGGAGCAGGAAGTGTCACCACCTCCACAACAACAGAAGTTTTACCAAGAAGTTAGTTCACCATTTAATATATATTCTTTGGTTGAGGTGATGTTATCAGGTGGTAGTTGTGAATATGGTTGGGTGAATGATTGGTCTAACATGGGTGGTTGGATGACCAAATGGTTAGCATGTGCGCTGTATCATAAGGTCTGTCATTGAGTCCTCTTGTACGTGACAAGGAGTAGGGTCGCCTGTCCAACCTCGTGGGTTTTCTCCGGGTCCTCCGGTTTCCTCGCACTGCTACAGACCCCTACACGCAAGTGATTTATTGAAATAAAATTGAACTGTGTGTTGGTCCCGAAATGACCTAGTTTGTGTCGAGTGGACAGTTAAATCCCATTTCTCTCTCTCTCTGGTCCAACACATGCACTTTAGATCACAAGTCAAGTTGCTAGTGTCAATCCCCAGCATGTATGTGACAAGGAGTAGGGTTACCTGTTCAACCTTGTGGGTTTTTCTCTAACCCACTAACCAGGATATATTGAGTTTAATTCCTTAGAGCGGGTGGTTGGATGGTCTAGTGGTTTAACATGTGGGCTTGCAATCCTAAGGTCTGTCATCGAGTCGAGTGGGGTGGTTTCATTTTATTTGATTAATTCTGCCATTGAAATGAATTGTGTTAATTTAATATTTTATTTGAAGAATTCTGTCATTGAAGTGAATTATGTTAATTTAATATTTTATTTGATGAATTCTGTCATCGAAGTGAATTATGTTAATTTGATATGAAATTATTTTTACAGTGAAACAGAAACCGTTCATTGACCCAAATAAAAGCAGTAAAAACCCGGTCAAGGTACTTGACTCGATTTTCCAAATTTCATATCTTTCTGTTCAGCCCAAGGATAAATGAATTGTCCCCAAATATTTTCACTTGTCTCATTTTCTTAATGATTACTGGTAGTCTTGTATCCACTGGACTAATGAAGACTGGCATTTTAAAACACAATATGTGCAACAATAGAGAATCAACGCTAGTTGCAAATGCATTCAAAACCAGTATCAAGATGGCAGTGAAATGAAATTAAATAGAAATCTTTGAGACCAGGCAAAAATGCCACTGTTTGGGCAAAATTCACCTCTCTAGCATTGCAAACATGACCTTATTAGTCTCCAAATTACTAACCTGTGATGTTGACTAGATGTTATTTTTATTTATTTCTTTGTTTTTTTCAGAATGAAAATTTTAATCCAGGAAAAGGTCCTCGACATGACCCTTTAGAAGAAGGAGCTCTTGTAATGCCGAGACCTAGTCCTGAACATCAGGTAGGTAGACAAGAACATCACATATGATAAGAACAAGGTTTATTATTGATGCTGAGTAATTATGCTGTATTAGGAAATTCCCAGTGCATTAATTTTCTAATAGATGATGTAACCAAACTACAATTGGGTTTAAAATCCTCTCAACACAAACTAAGTCATTTCGGGACTAATATATGGAACAGTTATTTGCTTTGACGTAGGGTAGGGGTCTTAGCAATCGGAGGAATAAATTAAATTTATTGGATTGTTTGTGTTTTTGTTTGGTGTGGGGTTGGGTGCACTTTAGGTCATAAAGCCTGTCTTTGAGTCAGTTGGTGAACTTTCGATTCTCTGGGTCTTCTGGTTTCCTCACACTGGTGAAAAATCCTACACGCAAGCGAATTATTGAAATAAAATTGAACCGTATGTTAGTCCCGAAATGACCTAATTTGTATCATATGGATATTATATCCCATTCCTCTCTTTCTATTTTCAGTTAAAGAACAATCTTCAGAACCTACCAATTGTTGATGTTGTTGTTGACCCTTATTTAACCTCTCAACTTCGACCCCATCAAAGAGAAGGCGTGTTATTCATGTATAAATGTGTTATGGGTTTCCAGGATTACTATGGTAACGGAGCCATCTTGGCGTAAGTTATTTAACCTTTCAACTTTGACCCCATGTTATTCATGTATAAATGTGTTATGGGTATCCAGGATTACTATGGTAACGGAGCCATCCTGGCGTAAGTTATTTAACCTTTCAACTTCGACCCCATCAAAGAGAAGGTGTGTTGTTCATGTATAAATTTGTTACAAAGCTCTACAAATACATCATTACTAAAACACTATACATGCAATAAATACCAGTTTATATTATTCTATTATATTCATAACTATATTTTATATTCTAACTATATTTCTATAATTATAGCTACGAATTTAATAATTATAGCTACAATTTAAATATTTATAACTTCAATATTAATATTTACAACTACAACTTCAATAACCATAATTATAATTTTAATAATTATAACTACAATTTAAATAATTATAACTACAATTTAAACAATTATAACTACAATTTAAACAATTATAACTACAATTTTAATAATTTAAATAATTTTAATAATTATAACTACAATTTAAATAATTAAAACTACAATTTTAATAATTTAAATAATTTTAATAATTATAACTACAATTTAAATAATTATAACTACAATTTAAACAATTATAACTACAATTTAAACAATTATAACTACAATTTTAATAATTTAAATAATTTTAATAATTATAACTACAATTTAAACAATTATAACTACAATTTAAATAATTAAAACTACAATTTTAATAATTTAAATAATTTTAATAATTATAACTACAATTTAAATAATTATAACTACAATTTAAATAATTGCAAATACAATTTTAATAATTATAATAATTATAACTACAATACTACTATTGATGTGGTTTATTCACTGCCTATCACATGATGAACAAATTTAATAAATATTTGAATTTGTGGTATTTCTTTTCAGTGATGATATGGGTTTAGGCAAGACATTGCAGTGTATCACATTATTATGGTAATTATTGTTATTCACATTATTATTGTAATTATTATCATGTTGAATTTTACCAAGGCATATGTGTTTCATTAATCCTCGCACTGACTAACGAAATCCTAACCCTTTCAAAGTGGGTGGGTTTTCTGTGCAATAACAACAAGCAGGGACAGTATTTTTTCACTACATCACCAGCGAAGCAGTGGCTGCATTGATCTGATTGATTGACGAGCCACGTGTGTAACCTATCTCCTTCTCATTATTGACAGTTATCAACATTACAAGTCACTTATAGCACGCTTCATTCGTTAACAGGTCACATTGGCGGGACCGGCTCAGTTATTAAAGATGCTAACTCATGAAAGCAATTCTATAAACCTAGTTTTAATTTAAGCAGGTTTTTATGGGTTATCCTCAAGAGGTTGATCATTCATGACATCATTACTTTCTCATCTTATTAAGATGTAACTTTATATTGTCACCTTGATGGTTATGTTTGATATGTCTCTTGGAAAAAAAAAATAAATAAGTATGATTGGTTGACGAGACACGTCACCTGTCCTCAACTGATGAAAGCCGTTCTATAAATATAACTTAGTTGATAGGACTAGAACTGTAAATAATTAATTACGACCTATGATTATTTTCAGGACGATGATAAAACAAGGACCATATGGTGGGAAACCTGTTATAAAAAAAGTTTTAATAATAACTCCTGGTAGTTTAGTTAAGGTAAAAATATAGATTCAGGTCGAATCACTATTATTCTTTAATTGTTTGATGGGTGGGTGAATGACCGAATGGTTTAACGTGTACGCTTTAGATCATAAGGTCTGTCATTGAGTCAAGTGTCGTGGTTTCGATACCCCACTTGTCTGAGACTAACCTGGGGTTTTTTCTCTGGGACCATCGCCTTCCTAACACTGCAACTGTGTGTTAGTCCCAAAATAACTTAGTTTGTGTGGAGTGGACATTTAACCCCATCTCTCTCTCTCTCTCTCTCTCTCTCTCTCAACTCCTTTTAATGCAAACTAGGTCATATCGGAACTAACATATGGTACATTTTCATTTCAATTGTTGACGAGTGCATATCAGTGGGAGGAAACTAGGTAACAGGTATTAAAGCCTTTCTCAAAGAAAAGATACTGTTAAAAATAGATTTAAAAACTTATATATGCTGAGATTAATATTTCAATCTATATTTAAAATTAGTTTACTGGATGTAATATTTGAATCTATATTTAGATGCTGAGAGTAATATTTGAATCTATATTTAGAATTGGTATGCTGAGATAAAGAAATGGTTGGGTACAGAAAGATTGAATATATTTGCTGTTACTGGCAATCAAAGAGTTGAGGTCAGTACAAACGAAATTGGGTTTAACGTCCTACTGTTCTGCTCCGACTGGGATAATGAAGACTCCATACAGTGTACTATGAGGGAAATTTTGCCCGGGCAGCATCACTATTGCCTACTCTTTTATCAAATTTCAACTGGCAAGGGATCTTTAACGTGCACCGGACCTCGGTTTTTCGTCCCATCCGACAGTGGCTCGGACAGTGGCGGTAAGGTCTACGATTATATTGAATTCCTATTGTCAAGGGTTCTTTTATGTGCATGCCAATATGTACTGGAGACCTCGGTTTTTCATCAAATCCAAACGACTATACATTGTCCGTTGCCAGGCCCTCTGTCCTGCATCACTGACAGGGGGGGGGGGGGAACCACGCCGGAATATCATGATGAACTTGCTTGGCCAACACTGGGATCATACACGAGATGTCTTACTTACCGAGCCACCTTGACCATATATTTAAACAGGTGTTGTCATAATAATCATAAAATGACGTAATTTTCTAAATTAACAGGTATACCCCAAACAGTTGCTTTGAGGAAATAAATGATTGAAAGGGGTTTTAATGTCCTACTTTTCTTGTTTCAATTCCCTGCTTGTACATGACAAGGAGTAGGGTCGCCTGTCCAACCTTGTGGGTTTTCTCCAGGTCCTCCGGTTTCCTCCCACTGCTAAAGACCCCTTTGCGCAAGCAAATTATTGAAATAAAAAATTAAACCATATGTAAGTCCCGAAATGACCTAATTTGTGTCAAGTGGACATTAAACCCCATTTCTCTCTCTTTCTCCAAGATGCAGTTTTCATGTGGACGTATTATGCCGTCGCCCCTGTCCGTCCGGACATCCGGACGTCCGTCCGTCCACAATTTGTTTGTGGACACTCTACAGGTCACAATTCTTATCCGATTTTGACGAAACTTTAAATATAGGTTTATCTCCAAAAGATCTCGGTTCCTTTCGATATTGGCATGTATCAGATTGAAACTTCATGGATTATGGCCCCTGTTTGTACGAAAAATCACGTTTTTAGGTTGTGGACACTATAGAGGTCACAATTTTTATCCGATTTTCTTGAAACTTGAAATCTAAGTTGATAATCCAAAGATCTCGCTTCCTTTCGATATTCGCGCATATCGGACTGTAACTTCCTGAATTATGGCCCCTGATTGTACCAAAAATCGTGTTTTTAGCTTGTGGACCCTATAGAGGTCATAATTTTTATCTGATTTAAAAAACTATCAATTATATCACCGTTACACCCTAAGGATGGCTGAGTTCGAATTTCAGGAAAATCGGCCCGAAATTGACAGAGAAAATGGCCGCTGTTCGTTCTCAAATAGCGTAAAAATATGGTATATCAAGGTTGTGGACATTATAGAGGTCACAATTTTTATCCGATTTTGTTGAAACTTGAAATCTAAGTTGATAATCCAAAGATCTCCGTTCCTTTCGATATTCGCGCATATCGGACCGTAACTTCCTGAATTATGGTCCCTGATTGTACCAAAAATCGCGTTTTTAGCTTGTGGACCCTATAGAGGTCTTAATTTTTATCAGATTTAAAAAAACGTATTATTATATCACCGTTACACCGTAAGGATGGCTGAGTTCGAATTTCGTGAAAATCGGCCCAAAATTGACAGACAAAATGGCTGCCGTTCGTTCTCAAATAGCGTAAAAATATGGTACATGTATATCAAGGTTGTGGTCACTATAGAGGTCACAATTTTTATCCGATTTTGTTGAAACTTGAAATGTAAGTTTATAACCCAAAAATCTTGGTTCCTTTCGATATTCGCGCATATCGGACCGTAACTTCCTGAATTATGGCCCCTGATTGTACGAAAAATCGCGTTTTTAGCTTGTAGACCCTATAGAGGTCATAATTTTTATCCGATTTAAAAAAAACGTATTATTATATCACCGTTACACCCTAAGGACGGCTGAGTTCGAATTTCGTGAAAATCGGCCCAAAATTGACAGACAAAATGGCTGCCGTTCTTTCTCAAATAGGGTAAAGTATATCAAGGTTGTGGACCCTATAGAGGTCACAATTTTTATTCGATTTTGTTGAAACTTGAAATGTAAGTTTATAACCCAAATATCTCGATTCCTTTCAATATTCACGCATATAGAATAGTAATTTCCTGAATTATGGACCTTGATTGTAGGAAAAATCACTTTCTTGTTAGCTTGTTCTCTATCCATCTCTCGAAAATGTGGGCGTATCCTGCCTGGCAGCCGCTGGTGTTATTTTCTATTTCTCCACAGGACTACAAGAAATCATCAATTCATCCAGTTTTGATCGTCTCGTATGAAATGTTTGTCCGAACTTATGAGATGATTCAAAACGAAAACTTTGACTTGGTTATCTGCGATGAAGGTCACAGATTAAAGAATACAGCGATAAAAACTACCTCAGTAAGTCCCAAGTTTAATAAAGTTGAGTTGAGTCCAGTCCCAAAGTTAACAATGTATTCTCAGACGGGGGTTGAATGGCCGAATGGTTAGCATGTGCTCGTTTTATCATAAGGTCTGTCATTGAGTCAACTGGCGTGGTTTCGATTCCCCGGTTGTACATGACAAGGAGTAGGGTTGCCTGTCCAACCTTAAGGGGTTTCTCTGGGTCCTTGGTTACCTCCAACCGCTAAAGACCCCTACGCGCAAGCGAATTATTGAAAGAAATTGAACCATATGTTAGTCCCGAAATGACCTAGTTTGTGTCGAGTGGATGTTAAACCCCATTTCTCTCTCTCTCTCTCTCGCATTCTCAGACTGAAGTTAAGAATTTACTGAACTTTCAATTACTGTTTATGAGAAATATCTTTGATCCAGAAACATAAAACTTTACACATAGATCCTTATTGATGTATTTGATACATTAAAACATCAAAAGTTTTGTAAAGGGATATATTTAAGGTTGAAATAACGCAAACAATTAAGAGTAAATTCTTAACGTAAGTCTGAGAATGTTTCGTGAAAGTCTGAGAATGTTTTGTGAACTCAGGGTCACAGCTTTCACTTTAATTAAGTTGGGTTGAGTCAGGGCTTGAAGTGCAAAATTTTGCCTCCAGATCAAATTTGGACTTATAATTAGCTTACTTTGGATTACAAAGATATTTGATTCCAAAGAAATATGACAGTTTTTAGCATTAAAAAAATATTTTAATTGTTTGTATGTAAGGCTTGTCTGTTTTTTGATCAAATCTGTTTCTATAAGCACAGAAATTATTAAATTCAAGAAAATCTAATTATCCAAGTGGGACAGAAGGAAGAACGGATAGAGCTCATTTTAATATTAATACCCTTTACAGATTTCCTTGTGGATAATGTGTACTTGACCTTGATTTTTCATCCCATCCATCCTGCACCACTGACAAGGGGAAATCGACAAAATTGTTAGGTCAGAGGGAAATCGATAAATAATTTTTTAATGTGTCAATTTCAGCTGATAATGAGTTTATCAACAAGAAAAAGAATTGTATTAACAGGAACCCCAGTACAGAATGATTTACAGGAATTCTTCTCTATAGTAGAGTTCTGCAATCCAGGAATTCTAGGTACGATAGCAAATTTAAACAAACATTATACAAGAGCTAAATCTGCCTATTGCGGGTCTTTCTTTAGGCTGAAATGTTATATTAATTAGACATTTATTCACACGAAAAGACCTTTATCAACTCTCGATGCCATCTTATGTGTCAGATTTTCACTGGATTTGAATCTGATCTGCTGCTCAACGCTCATTGATGATTAAATCCAAAACTGGATAATTGAGACTATGTTTTTTATCGCACCGACTTTAGTATTGATGTTCGAGGCTATGCTTAACATCCAATCGCTAATATCTCGGTTCAGAGTGGATCAATTTGACTGAAATTTTCAGCATATTCCCTTTACATTATCTAGTTTTTAACTATTATAGTGAGAACTGCCAGCTCTTTATCTAACTTCCCATAATGTATCTTTAACATGTAAATTTAAGATGAATAGAAACATACTTTTCAATTGGGCAATTTAAAATCACTATTCTTTATAAGGGTTGTTGTAACTATCAGTCCGAAAATGGTTCAATTCCGTTCAGTATTTAAAAAGATTGAAAATTTCATAACATTCTGTACTTTAAAAAGTTAGAATTGGAAAACAATTACGTATTTTTTTTGTGTTGTGTTTTTCAATAACTGTTGTAATTCTACCTTCAGGTACCAGCATCGCTTTTCGTAGAGTTTACGAAGATCCGATTGTGGCATCTCGTCAACCTAGTGTATCTCAAGATGTTGTGATGTTAGGTGAAGAACGAGGCAGTGAATTATCACGATTGACCTCCATGTTTATTTTACGAAGAACTCAAGAAATTAACAACCAATATCTACCTCCTAAAGGTAGGACAAAGAGAATTGTTACACTAGGCTCATGACCAGATTGGGGGTTGGATGGCCGAATGGTTAGCACGCGCTCGCTGTATCGTGAGGCCTGTCATTGAGTCAACTGGCATGGTTTCGAATCCCCGGTTGTACGTGACAAGGAGTAGGGTTGCCTGTCCAACCTCGTGGGTTTTCTCCGGGCCCTCCGGTTTCCTCCCACTGCTAAATACCCCTATGCGCAAGTAAATTATTGAAATGAAATTAAACCATATGTTAGTCCCAAAATGACCTAGTCTGTGTCGAGTGGACGTTAAACCCCATTTCTCTCTCTCTCTATTTCGAATTAACATGCACCAGTGACAAAAGGAAACCAGAGGGCCTCCTGATTGGTGAGCAAGCACCTCCTTCGCTGAGCCACCTTGGCTTGCCAAAGCTAGAGAACTGTGATCCAAGTAATTAGAACATTGTAGCCAAGAGGTTATTGTCCTGTCACTTGACCACAGCGACCCCATTCATGATGAAGGTGCTAGATGTATAAAGGGAATGAAAAATTTAATTACACCCTATTATCTGTGTCTTTAGCTTGACCTTTTTATGTATATAAAAAGCAGGAGTACCCATCAAAACTAATACAGGATGCAATAATCAAGGCATTGTCTCTAGGTCAAACAAAATTGAGAACTTCCAAACAAAATTGAGAACTTCCAATTGAGAACTTCCAAACAAAATTGAGAACTTCCAAACAAAATCATTCTAACATTTGTACCGACTTACAATTCAAGTTATATCCAGCAAAATGTCCTAAAATCATTTATTTTTCTGATTTAATGAATATTTATATTTTCAATAATTATTGTAAAGCTCACCTGGAAAAGCATTTGAATGATAGTGCTACATACACTGTAACCCAGGTATTATTTAATCTTGTGTATCTAGTACTATTCAATATCAAATCCTTGTTAAAAATCAATTACAATCACCAAAAATCATCTAATTGGTACTTGTGTTCAGTTTAAAATTGACTATTCAATTTTGATAATGAGTGTTTAATTTCTCAATCGCTGTTAAAAAAAACCCGATTAATTATTGATGTATAATGATTAACTTTTAACAGTGATCAGGAAATTAAATACTTGTAAATTGGACACTCATTATCAAAATTAATCAGTCAGCTTTAAACTGGACAAAAATACAAAGTAGATGATTTTTGGTGATTTTAAATGATTTTTACAAAATTTTAAACAAAGATTTGATATTAAATGAATGTGAAAGAAATTACTGCTAGATACACAAGATTAAATGATACCTGGGTTACAGTGATAATTTCTTTCAATAATAAAAATGACGAAAATGATAATTTTGATTATTTGTAGTTGAGCTGGTGTTATTTTGTAAAGCAAGTGAGTTTCAGTTACAGATATATCGTCAGTTTTTGACAAGTCGTACGATACGTCAATGTTTGTCTGGTAGTATGGTCGGTGCACCACATCTCATCTGTATAGCTGCGTTAAAACAACTCTGTAATCATCCACGTCTGGTATTTGATAAAGCTGTTCAAGCTGCTGGAGCGGTGGATGAAGATGGGGAAATAACCGTAAGTTTATTCCTCTTGAATGAAATGAAATGGGGTTTAACGTCCTACTGTTCTGCTCAGACTTAGCTAACGAAGACGGGCATACGCCATACAGTGTGCTGTGAGGGAAATTTCGCCCGGACAGCAGCACTAAGCCCTACTCTTATATCGAATCCAATGTGTACATGAGACCTTAAGTTTTTCATCTCATCCAAACGACTGGAAAACTTTTCTTGTCAGGCCCTCTGTCGTGCCCCAATATAGGGGAACCACGCCTGAAAATCCTGATGAACTTTCTCGGCCAACACAGGGATCGAACTCGGGACCTCCAGTTTAACAAGCCAACTCCTACTCACTGAGGGGTGTTGAATGGCCGAATGGTTAGCACTTGCGCGCTGTATCATAAGACCCCGGTTGTCATTGAGTCAACTGGCGTGATTTTGAATCCCCGGTTGTACATGACAAGGAGTAGGGTCAACTGTCCAACCTCTTGGGTTTTCTCCGTTTTCTTCCCACTGCTAAAGACCCATACGCGCAAGCAAATTATTGTAATATAATTAAACCATATTTTAGTCCCGAAATGACCTAGTTTGTGTCGAGTGGACGTTAAACCCCATCTCTCTCTCTCTCTCTCTCCCCTCCCACCTACTCACTGAGTCACCTCGCATTTCACAGGTTACCATGGTAATGATAAACAACCGCTGTATGCTAGGCTGCTACATAGAAATTTTCACCAGTATTTCACAATAAACATTGTCTACAGTCTAAATAAAACATGTGTAAACAATACTATCACGTGATCAATAGTAGTTTTATCGGTGATTATATTGATTCTGAGTATCGACCACATTACAGCAGATTACTATCAAAACCCTTACGCGCCATTAGATAATGGCGAGCGACTATAACGGCAGGAATTAAAATCATTCCAACATATCGCTTTTTTTCCTGAATAATTTATCAGCCTTTACAAGCAACAATAATTGACGGAATGAATAAATGAATAAAGTCGAATAGAAATGGTGGATTATTTGCCAGTTCGTGAGTTGATGGTACCTTCGTTCAATGGTACCTTCGTTCAATGATTTGATTTGTGCATGCGAGAAAAAGCTCGGAAATTGATTGTAGCTACAACTTTTAACCTCAATACTGGACACACAATCTGATTAAAACACAGATCATATTTCATTTCGTTTTTTATAGTTCAAATTTCTGTTTTACTTGTCTTTACTACACTAGGATCTGGAAGAGTTGTTATATAACCCGCGTTCTGGATCATGTGAGGGATTAGCCAATGAAATGGTCCATTACGGTGAGCTTTTGGCGTGAGGTGCACGGGACTGGATAATCCACTAGAAACATCAATGCTGATTGATTAATCAATGTCTGACGTCATAGGGTCAAAAGCCGCTTGTATGACCTCTGACGCAATTTCCCAAAACAACTGGTCTTGTAGTGTAGGCCATCGAAAGTATAAAAAAATGAAACGAAATATAGATCTGTATTTTAATCAGATTGCGTTTGTATACTGGATGTTTGTTTATTACCATAGTAACATAAACGATTGCTGTATGTTTCTATGTTTTATTCTAGGAATCGGTATATTCAGGGTTATCTACCTTGTATCCACCACATTATGGAGATCAGGAGATCGTTTGTGAAGATTCCGGGAAACTTATTGTCCTAGCGTCCATATTGTTGGCCGTACATCATCCAGCTTGTAGAGAAAAAATAGTCATTGTGTCAAATCATACTAAAGTAAGAATTTTAATAAACTTCTTTTTACAACCGGTCGGTTATATCATGGATGGCTAATTAAAGATACATTATGTAAGATTTAGATAAAGAAATGAAAATGAAATGAAATGGGGTTTAACGTCCTACTGTTCTGCTCCTAACCTGGGCTAATGAAGACGGGCATACGCCATACAGTGTGCTATGAGGGAAATTTTGCCCGGGCAGCGGCACTACGGCCTACTCTTATATCGAATTCCAACTGCCAAGGGATCTTTTACGTGCACGCCAATGTGTACACGGGACCTCGGTTTTTCGTCCCATCCGAACGACTAGACAGCTTTCCTTGTCAGCCCCTCCGTCCTGCATCACTGACAAGGGAGAACCACGCCGGAAAATCTGGATGAACTTTCTCAGCCAATGCAGGGATCGAACACCCGACCTCCAGGCTAGCGAGCTAGCGTCTTACCCACTTAGCCATGTGATCCCCATTTAGATAAAGAGCTGGCCATTCTTGCTATAATATTTTAAAAAAAGATAAGGCAAAATGTTGATAAATGTCGAATTAATAACATTTAAGGCCCAAAGAAGGACCTGCGATAGGCAGATTTTCCTAATGAACAATTCTTCCTGATGAACTGTCCGTCCTGATGAACCATCCGTCCTTATGAGAAAAATCTTGATGAACAATCTTTCTTGATGAACAATCAATCCTGATGAACCATCCGTCCTGATGAACAATCCATCTTCATGAACAATCTGTCTTTATGAACAATCCATCCTGATGAACAATCCATCTTTATGAACAATCCATCCTGATGAACAATCAATCCTGATTAACAATAAGAACATGGACTGGTGAAGTCTTGACTTTATATATTTATTTGGCTTCCCAGGTAGTCAAGTGGTAATGCACTCGCCTGTCAACTAGAATGACCAGATTAAGATCCAGATGAAGGTCAGGTTTATGTTAGTTCTATAAACTGTCATGTTCTTGGAGAAAAACAAGTGTGAAATAAACTTATTGTGTAAATAAAATTGTTCGCCTGACAAGATTTTAAAATAGAGGTAGCCTTGTAGAAGTGGCTCCCAGCAGGGGCAGGAGATGATGAACCTTTTGTCAACTTTGTCCAAATTTTGATCACTTGCCAACTATGTCTAATTGCTGATCATTATATTTCAGACTTTAAACGTAATAGAAAGATTTTGTGTGACAACTGGTTATCAATTTCTACGTTTAGACGGACAGACCCCAACCAATCACAGACAAGAATTAGTCAAAAAATTTAATAATAAATATTCCACCGAAAGTAAGTAATAGATAAACACAATCTGATTAAAATACAGATCTATATTTCGTTTAGTTTTTTTTTATACTTTCGATGGCCTACACTACATGAAGATCTGACCAGTTGTAGTGGAAGGTTGCGTTGGGGGTCTTACGAGCGGCTTTTGACCCTATCAGTCATTTGATTAACCAATCAGCGTTGATTTTTCTAGTGGGTTACCCAAAGTTCTGTGCACCTCACGCCAAACACTTGTAACAAAACGTTTCATTGGCTAATCCCTCACATCATCCAGAACGCGGGTTATGTAACAACAAGTCCAGATGTTAGTGTGGTCAAGACAAGTAAAACGAAATTTTGAATTATAAAAAACAAAACAAGATGGTATCTGTGTTTTAATCAGGTTGATATATACACAACCCAAATGTGTTATTCAAAATTCCCAGAAACCCCCAAATTTGTGATTGGAGTTCAAAATTAATATCATTCAAGTCAGATTGACAAAATATTACGGCATAACTCAAACATACAGGTGTAGTTCTATAGTATTTTTCAAACCTCCCAGAAACACTGAAATTTCTCATCGTAGTTGGAATTTGAAATTAATGTCATTCAAATCAGATCGACAAAATATTTTCTTCTGTCACAGAACATCCCCATGGAAGAAGATAATTGTGAAGGTTCCCCATAACAAATCAAGCTTCAGGGCTCCAAAAATGTAGATGTGTGTGATTTAGCTTTATTTAACGTCCGCTTCCACTGTATGTAGGTTGACCAATCCACGGATATGTGGTATTTTCAGACTATTAATTGAGCAAATCGGATTGGTTTATATTTCTAGCGGTGTTTTTGTTGAGTAGTAAAGCTGGAGGTGTAGGATTAAATCTGATTGGTGCATCAAGACTCGTTCTCTATGATATTGATTGGAATCCAGCCAATGATCTTCAAGTAAGTATTTAACCCATTAGTAATTGGTACATGTATATATTGCCTACCCCAGTCTCTTGATAAACAAGTCTAGACAGAAAGCACCTGTTTTTATTATAATACATGTATGTATATTTGTACATGTTTTTACATATGTATATTTGTACCAATTTTAATTATAATAGGGGGGTTGGGTGGTCAAATGGTTAGCATGTGCGCGCTGTATCATAAGGTCTGTCATTGAGTCAACTGGCGTGGTTTTGATTCCCCATTTGTAATTGAGAGTTTCAAGAATTTCTGAACCTGACCCCAAGTTCACAAAGCATTCTCAGACTTAAGTTAGGAATTTACTCAATTTCAGTCACTGTTTATGAGAAATATGCCTTTGATCCAGAAACACAAAAATTTGCACATATATAGTTTCTTATTGATGTATTTGATACATTCAAACAACAAGGGTTTTATAAAGGGCTATATTTTAGTTAAAATAAGGCAAACAAGTTTGAGTAAATTCTTAACTTAAGTCTGATAATGCTTTGTGAACTTGGGGTCAGGACATTGAATGATCTTCTTCTATTCCTGATAATATGTGATACATGTGTATTAACTTCAGGCTATGGCGAGAGTATGGAGAGATGGACAGAAGAGAAAAGTCTATATTTACAGGTTACTTACAACTGTGAGTTATTATCTTTGTAATTCATATTTGTTTTATTATCTACCTATATTATAGAGATAGACTTCTAATTTTATAAAGATGGGTTGCCAGGCATCAAAACATATGCCCACAGCAGCTAAATCGTCCAGGCAGTCGACAAGGGTTGTCGCATATTTATTCTTTTGTAGGTAATTAGGGGAATTTAATAGACAATTTCATACAGATGACGTTATAATTTTCGTTGAGGGTTCACAAGGTTCTTAAAACTAAAACAAGGGCTGTAACTCTGGAAGTAATCTACAGAAATTGTTCAATTTCGACAGGCTTTTTCGTTTTACTAATTCAAATAATGCATATAAATTTCATACAGATCGGATGATAATTTTTGTCATACGAACGTTCACAAAGTTCAACAAAGTAAATCAAGGGCCATAACTCTAGATGTAATTAACGGAAATTTGCTGAAACTCAATAGGCTTGTTCGTTTAAATTAGGGGGGTTGGATGGCTGAATGGTTAGCGTGCGCGCGCTGTATCATAAAGTCTGTCATTGAGTCGACTGGCGTGGTTTCGAATCCCCGATTGTACGTGACAAGGAATAGGGTCGCCTGTCCAACCTCGTGGGTTTTCTCCGAGTCCTCCGGTTTCCTCCCACTGCTAAAGACCCCTACGCGCAAGCGAATTATTGAAATAAAATTAAACCATATGTTAGTCCCAAAATGGCCTGGTTTGTGTCGAGTGGACGTTAAACCCCATTTCTCTCTCTCTCTCTCTTGTTTAAATTAATTTAAATGATACATATAAATTTCATACAGATCGGATAATAACTTTTGTTGTTAGAGTGTTCACAAGATTCACAAGATTCAACAACGTGAAACAAGGGCCATAACTCTAGATGTAATTAACGGAAATTGCTGAAATTCAATAGGCGTCTTTGTTTTACTAATTTAAATGATGCATATAAATTTCATACAGATCGGTTGATAACTTTTGTCGTTAGAGCGTTCACAAGGTGCAACAAAGTGAAATAACTCCAAAAGAAATTAACGGAAGTTATTGAAATTAAATAGGCTTCTTCATCTCACCAAAGCAAACAACATATATCAATTTCAAAACAATCAGATGATAAATGTAGTCTGTAGAGTGTTCACAAGAAATTGTGGACGATGGACGGATGGACGGACAGGGGCGACGGCAATATACGACCACATTTCCTGTGGGCGTATAAAAACTGTGTTTTATGTGTTAATGTAGGATCTATAGATAAAAACTGGGTTTTATGTGTTATATTAGGGGACAATAGATAAAAACTGTGTTTCATGTGTTAATATAGGGGACAATAGATAAAAACCATGTTTTATGTGTTATTATAGGGGACAATAGATAAAAACTGTGTTTCATGTGTTATTATAGGGGACTATAGAAGAGAAAGTTTATCAGAGACAGATCAGTAAACAGGGGCTGAGTGGGGCTGTAGTGGATCTACGAGCTAAATCTGATGTTCAATTTTCTAGGGAAGATCTAAAGGTTTGTGTTTAACATTAAACTAGTCAGAAGTGCCGCTGCCCAGGCAAAATTTCCCTCGCGTAATACTGCATGGCGTATGCCTGTCTTCATTAGTCTGTTTGGTGCAGATAAATAAGTCTTACAGGATTAAGGGGCCTGATGCTTAAGCTTTATTAAGGGCCATTTATAATGAGCATGACCGATGCCACTGCCTTTTTCTGTGCAGAAATTCAAAGATGAAACTTTGACGATTTGACCTTATATGCTGTTTAACATAGCACTCTTGAGTTGCTAATGAAAATAGGTCGTGTGAACTATTACCGAAAATTTGCTATAATTTTGACCAGTATAAATAGTAGTTAAGGGGGAAGGCTATCCGAAAATTTATATTCTGAAATGTTAATGCAATTGAATTGAAAATAGCACAAGTAGTTAGGAAATGTAATAAACAAGGGAAAATTAATATTAGAAAAAAAGTTGTTGCCAGTGTAACACATTTATTTGGAAAAAATTATGAAAAACGTAGGTACACTATATCTCTGTAACTAATTAAGATATCTTCGCCAAATTTGCAAGGTATATAAACTAATATCTACCACAGAATCAGACAGAAAGCAATTTAAATTATCATTAATATTTCAAAAGTTATCAAAACATTTCTCCAAAGACAAAATATTGTGGTGAGGGAAATGTTTTAAACACCATTTTCCAAGAAACTATAAAAATTATAGAGAAAAACTCTCTGGTTTTGGGGTTATCATTAAAGAATAAGCAGTCTGAAAATCAGATATTTATCTTTATTATTATCAGAGATATGGTGTACCTACATTTTTCATACTTTTTCCAAAAAAATGTGTTACCCTGGCAACAACTTTTTTTCTCTTTATTTTTAATGTTAGTTTTCCTTTGTTTATTACATTTCCTAACTACTTGTTTCATCTTCAGTTCACTAGCTTTAGAATTTCAGAAAACATTTTTCGGGTAGCCTCACCTCAACCAAATGCAATGGCTGCAATTGCGCTTAGTATAAACGGTTGTCAGTTTTCTAGTAGATTCACCCTGGAAACAGCTATGTTAAAGATACATTATGCAAGATTTAGATAAAGAGCTAGCCATTTCTGCTATAATAGTTCGAAAATAGGTAATGTAAAATGAATACAGTGGACTCTGTCACGCTTTAATATGTCTGACACTGTAGCTCGGCCAATAAAATACTTAACGGCTAATTCCTGGAACTTTCTCGAAATCTGCTATAAGTTGCCGCTTTACATCTAATGTCAAATCTGTTCGGGCACGCTTTGCAGGACATTCAGACATTTTGAATACAATAATGTATAATGATTCTTCAATCGCGGCAATTTTTATATAATGTCGCGGTATTTGACATGAGTAACTAAAATCAAATACCAAGCGCACTCTTACAATAGATTATAAATTGTAAAATAATCAACAAAGAATTTATAACATTATCAAAGTAATCAACACAGACCGGCGCTTGCGAGTTTTAATCTCACCGATAATTGATTGGTTATTGCTTGTTAATCTTTTCTGGCTAGAAACACCCATTGAGTTTTAATCTCATCGATAATTGGATGCTTCACACCCACCGTTTGAAGTACGGATTAACGGTGTCGATTCAATGGGAATTGTGTGACGGGACGGCTGATTGATGTCGTAATCCGGAACATACAGAATCCGGATTTACCAGCAATTTTTGGGCTGAAGTAATAAGGAAATAAATTGGGACATGAAAATCATGTCGGATGTCACAGCAATCCGGAATGATCAGACATCGGATGTGACAGAGTCCACTGTAATTTGAAAATTTCATTCAAATTACTATATTGCGAGCGAAGATATTAGCCTTTGAAGGTTTGACAAGACGTGTGCAATGATTTCAACCACCGAACTAGTTGTTCGAAGCTAAGTCTAGCTCCTCCATTTTTAGCTTAAATCAAAATATGGCTGAACAGTTCTAATCTATTTAATATCGGAGAAATCCGATGCCCACGAGAGTTGATTTTGGCCTGGATAAGTTAATTAATGTCTAATTAATAATATAGAAAACATTTCAGGCCTAAAGAAGACCTGCAATAGGCAGATTTAGCTCTTGCATAATGTATGTTTAAGGTTTCTCATGTTTATGACGTCGAGGGTTCATTAGGATGGGCAAATTTTTTTTATATATTTTATCAACTTTTTCCTGACAACATAAACTCAGATGTCTATCTTGTTTCAGGATTTATTTTCATTGAATGAGAAGACTATTTGTGATACTCATACATTATTAAACTGTACCTGTACTGGAGAAGGTGACGAGGTAGAAAAAATAACACCACCACCACCTGTACAACGGTCATGTCAACTAGGACAACCTAAATCTCAAACAAAGGTATGTACAGTGGACTCTGTCAAATCCGACACTGTGCGTGATCATTACAATGTGTCGGATAACGCAGAGTGTCGGAATACTCAGTTTTCTCAAAACTGGAATAATTGTAACTTCGAAAACCGGAAGTATTATTATAATGTAGCTTCGAATCCCCATAACATTATTCCCTTTAGATTTGTCATTAATTTACCTTCTTCATCGTCTTCAGTTAATTGGAAACTTGTCTTTGCGGTCACGTGTTCATTGATAATCTGTCGTTCTATGTCCAGGTCGTCGTCACAAGGTTCAGAGAGATCCGTAGGGTGAACAAACTTAGGTATTCAGGTTCAATCGGCATGTGCAGCGAATGTTTCCAACCGGTGTTAGGAATATTTTTACGACTGTGAATTCGTGGGAAAATTCATGGGTATTCTTGAGTATTTGTCACAACTGTGTTACAAGAGATTATAAAATTATCAAAGTAATCAACAAAGACCTACGCGAGTGAGTTTTAATCTCACCGATAAGTGATTGGTGATTGCTTGTTAACCTTTTGTGACTTCACACCCACCGATTAAATTATACAGTGTTGAGTCAATGGAAATCATGTGACGGGACGGCTGATTGATGTCGTAATTCGGAATATTCAAAGTACGGATTACTCAAAGATTTTTTGGCTGAAATAATAAGGAAATAAATCAGGACATGAAAATTATGTCGGATTTCACAGGGTGCTGGAGTATTCAGAGGTTGGATGTGACAGAGTCCACTGTAGTAGAAATTAGACCCAAGGTTGTCAACCTCTGGGTCGTAGAGCACTTTTCATGGAAACAAAAATTATTACATCTGGGAAATTTCTAGTTAACAAAAGGGTGATGTGTGTAAACAATTTCATAAGAGATTTTGAACAGTTATGTGATATGGTCTGGAAACAAAATGAAATGGGTGTTGTTTAACGTCCTACTGTTCTGCTCCTATACTGGGCTAATGAAGATGGACATACGACATACAGTGTGCTATAAGGGAAATTTTGCCTGGGCAGTGACACTATGGTCTACTCTTATATCGAATTCCAACTGTCAAGAGATCTCTTACGTTCACGCCAATGTATACATGGGACTTCAGTTTTTTGTCCCATCCAAACGACTAGACAGCTTTGCTTGTCAGGACCTCCATCCTGCACCACTGACAAGGGGAATAAACCACGTCGGAAAATCCTAATGAACCTCTGATAACAAAACGTGACAGATGGCGCCCATTACAACATCCTTCTTGTAAAAGCGTTTGACACGGGGTGGAAAAAAAAAACTCCCAGCAAAAACTACATGATATAAATTGTTGTTTTCTTTTCTTACAGAAAAATCTGACAATGGATGAATTATTAGATTGGAAGCATTTACTTGGATCGTTTCCAGATCTGGACCCTAATTGGTTTATCTCAGATCTTCAGGACTATTTAACGTACATATTTTGGAACGAAACGAAATCGAACACAAATTTATGATAAAAAAAACTCCCCAGTAGAATGAACAATAATTTTGTGTAATGTCTGTGAATGAAATTTAACTTGTGTTAAACATACATTATGCAAGAGCTAAATCTGCCTATTGCAGATCTTTATTTAGGCCTGAAATGTTATATAAACTATTAATTAGACATTAATTAACTTATCCAGGCCATAATCAACTCTCGATAGCATCAGATTTCTCCGATATTAAATAGATTAGAACAGTTCCGCCATATTTTGATTCAAGCTAAAAATGGAGGAGTGAGACTTAGCTTCGAACAACCAGTTCAGTGTTTGAAATTATTGCACACGTCCTGTCAAACCTCCAAAGGCTAATTTTAAAATTATTCATTTTACATTATCTATTTTCGGACTATTATAGCAAGAATGGCTAGCTCTTTATCTAAATCTTATATAATGTATCTTTAAGTGGTGTTGAAATTCACCTAGTGTGTCCAATGTCATTTGGCTGATTCAAACATGTTTGATATATTCGGCTGATTCAAACATGTTTGATATATACGGGTGATTCAAACATGTTTGATATATACGGGTGGTTCAAAACTTGTTTGATATATTCGGCTGAATTATATTCGCCTAGTGTGTCCGCTTCGCCGGATTGTAGAATAAATCCTCCACTCATATCAAGAAGTCACGTGATTGTTTGAAGACATGGTCACTGCCATGTTTAACCATGTGACGTGAAAAGTGATGCAATCGACTGGTGAATTGGGCGAAGGATTCGGTTAGTATGTCCACTGTCTATCCATTCGGCTAATGTGTCCACCACTGAGATAAAATATTTATGATAAAAAGACTCTGCATAAGAAGGAACATTAATTTATATCACAAGAGTTTTGTGATGTTATTTGTGAATAAAACTTGTAGGCCGCAAGTTTCTAATTAAAACAGTATGATAAAGACTCTTACATTTATTTATATCACAAGTGAATAAAACTTGTATGTTGAGTTTTGTGTGACCTTATCTGTGAATAAAACTTGTGTTGCTCAAGTTTCTTATAAAATATTAAATATCTATTTATAGATTGTGTAGTTTGGTTTCTTTGGTACGCCTATGAATGGCTGCCATGTTTTATAATGTGGTTCTTTTCCGTTTCACATCTATCATACACACAAATTTTATTAATTGGAAGCAGAATAAATACTTAACCAATTTTTTTGTGGAAATGAAATGAAATGAGGTTCAACGTCCTACCGCTAGGCTCCGACTGGGCTAATGAAGACAGGGATACGCCATAGTGTGCTCTGAGGGAAATTTTTCCTGGGCAGCAGCACTATGACCTACTCTTTTATTGAATTCCAACTGCCAGGGGAACTTTTACTTGCATGCCAATGTATACATGGAGCCTCGGTTTTCCATCCCATTCGGAAGACTAGACATCTGTCCTTGTCAGGTCCTCCGTCCTGCACCACTGACAAGGGGAAAACCCTGTTGGAAAATCTGGATGAACTTTCTTGGCCAATGCAGGGATCGAACACACGACCACCAGACTAGCGAGCCAGCGTCTTGCCCACTTAGCCACCGTGGCTCCCATTACGTGTTCCAAGATGGTAATATATACCTGTACGTGTCTATTAGATTCTATACGATATGCAGAGATTCCTTTCCCGCAGGGTGGGGTTGGATAGCCGAATTGTTAGCACGTGCGTGCTGTATCATAAGGTCTGTCATTGAGTCAACTGGCATGGTTTTGAATTCCTGGTTGTATGTGACAAGGAGTAGGGCCGCCTGTACAACCGCGTGGGTTTTCTCCGGGTCCTCCCACTGCTCAAGACCCCTACATCCAAGCGAATTAAAGAAATAAAATTGAACCATATGTTAGTCCCAAAATGACCTACAGTAGAATCTGCATTAAGCAGCCACCCAAGGGAATTTTCACAACTGACCGCTGAACGGGAGTGGCCTCTTAATAAAATCTTGTTGCTTTTGTGCTGACATAAATTAAATATTACGCTTGGATGCATTAGAAGCGGTAAATTTGGCCGTCGATGAATCTTGCGCCGAACGAAAATTCTTTACTCAAATCTCGGACATAACTAAACGGGAGTGGCCTCTTAATAAAATCTCTGTGCTTTTTGTGCTGACATAAATTAAATATTACGCTTGAATGCATTGGAAGCGGTAAATTTGACCGTCGCTGAATCTTGAGCCGAACGCAAATTGTTTACTCAAATCTCGGACATAACTTCTGTAAACTTGTCATTTTGTACCAACCTTCGATACTACTGCCTACCATTGTGATGCATTCGATAATATTTATCCATTTTTGTGAAGAAAATCGATGAATTAATTTTATTTTATCAAAAAAGCACATGAACAAAAAAACATCGCTAATTTTATCACCTATTTACAGGGGGTGTAACTCTGTATGTAATATTATAGGAGGCGCTAAGAGAGATACTAGATGATCGTGACAAAACTCGGTACTTTTATTTTATTCAACCAGTATCAAATAATGTGTCGTTACGCGTGAAAACAATGATCAGGTTAGTCGTTTAATAAAACAAAAGATTAATTAACAGATAATCCCGGGTTGATTGTTATTTTTACATTTCTTTTTACCTGATCAGTGGGGGTCCAGTTAATTAACTACCACTCACGGGATTAGCGGGGGTGTTACAAAGAACGACAAGATGGTTATCATTCAACAATGGCCGTTGAATGGGCGATGTTTTGTTGAATTTATTAGTAAAATAGTGACCGCTGGCCGCGTTAGAGGAGTGACCGTTGAATAAAGAGATGAAACAACAGAATTTCTACGGGGGGAATTTATCGTGACCGCTTACAAGGAGATGTCGCTGAATAGGAGTGGCTGCTCATACAGATTCTACTGTAGTTTGTGTCGAGTGGACGTTAAACCCCATCTCTCTCTCTCTCTACAATACTAAATAATAATCTGACTCAATGAGAAAGACAGACAAGGAATGCTGTTAATGATATTTATTGATATTTTCTAATAAATTTAAAACATAAATCATCTACACATACATGTAAAGTATAACTAACGTCTTCATATTGTCAATTCAATATATCACATACCATATATATTAGTAAAATATCAGGTTGTAAGATAATGTATTATTTACACCTGATGATGATTAAGATATAACATAGGTTAGAAATGGCCACTCGACACAAACTAGGTCATTTCAGGACAATCAAATGGTCCAATTTTATTTCAATAATTCGCTTGCACGTAGGGGCCTTTAATTAGCAGTGGGAGGAAACTGGACGACCCAGAGAAAACCCAAGAGGTTGGACAAGCGACCCTACTCCTTTGTCACGTACAACCGGGGAATCAAAACCACACCAGTTGACTCAATGGCAGACCTTATGATACACCGTGCAAGCACTAAGCATTTGGCCATCCAAATGCTCATTACGTACAGACATCAAACCTAAATGTATTCCCTTTTAAAATGTCAGGCAAAGCCAGATTTTAATGCTTCGATTTAAGAGATGGGTTTGTACCCTGTCAGATAGGATTATATGCTTAATTGTAGTTGGGTGTGGTAGAAATGTAATAAATTTTAATAACGATAATTAATCGGCGTTTCAATCTGATTAAAATACAGATCTATATTTCGTTTTGTCTTTTTATACTTTTGATGACCTAAACTATGCGAAGATCTGACAAGTTGTACTCCAAGGTTGTGTCAGGGGTCGTACGAGCGGCTTTTGACCCTATGACATTGATTAATCAATCTGCGTTGGCGTTTCTAGTAGTTTATCCACAGTTCCGTGCATGGCTCGACAAGAAGTCACTGTAACAGACTGTTTCGTTGGCTTATCCCTCACTTAAACCAAAATACCGGTAATATAACAACTCTTCCATATCCTAGTGTAGTAAAGACAATTAAAATTAAATTCTGAACCATAAAAAACGAAACGAAATAGGATCTGTGTTTTTATCAGATTGTCGTCGTTTTGAAGAAAAAAATAGACAATGAAGGGGTTACACTTTCAAACACAAAAACACTCTTTCACAGATATATTCTTCATATAGTCCTGAATATATTATTATTATATCCCTTTGTTACATTTAGAGTTATCTATCTTGGTGGAGGAGGCGCCATACCTGGCAATCCACCTGGACTAGATCCTGATACAGCAGCATTGGGTCCTAATAAAATCTGAAAATATATAAACACAGAAATAAATAGATAATTGATTCTTTTTTATTCATGCCGTATAATATTTACATTTAACAGATATTAAAGAGGTTCAGATGCACCCAAGATTGAAAACGAGGTGATTCCCTTTTTGCATGCCAAGTAATCAGTTATCGAGGGCTTACGTGCGCGCCAAAGTATACACAGGACCTCAGATTTTCGTCCCATCCAAAGGATTAGACAGCTGTCTTTGTCAAGCTCTCCGTCGGAAAACATACAATTGACACCCAACCCAACCTAACCTTAAAACCTGTCACTGGCCAAATGATTTATCATAAGGTTTGTCATTGAGTCAAGTGGTTTAGTTTTGATGAAATGAAATGAAATGGGGTTTAATGTCCTACTGTTTTGCTCCTAAACTGGGCTAATGAAGACGGGCATACGCCATACAGTGTGCTATGAGGGAAATTTTGCCCGGGCAGCTGCGCTACGGCTTTCTCTTATATCGAATTCCAACTGCCAAGGGATCTTTTACGTGCACGCCAATTTGTACACGGGACCTCGGTTTTTCGCCCCAACTGAACGACTAGACATCTGTCCTTGTCAGGCCCTCCGTCCTGCATCACTGGCAAGGGGAAACCACGCCGGAAAATCTGGATGAACTTTCTCGGCCAATGCAGGGTTCGAACACCTGACCTCCAGGCTAGCGAGCCAGCGTCTTACCCACGTGATACCCGGTTAAGTTTTGATTCTCTGGTTCTCTGTGATAAGGAGTAGGGTCGCCTGTCCAACCCCATGGGCTTTTCCGGTCTCCTTCACTGCTAAAGACCACTATGCGCAAGCGAAATATTGAAATAAAATTGAACCATATGCTAGTCCCAACATGAACTAGTTTGTGTTGAATGGATGTTAAACCTCATCTCTCTCTGCTTACCTGTCTTTGTTGTTGCAACTGTTGTTCTTGTTGTTGGGCTCTTTCGGATTCAAATACAATAGGTAAAACCATTATGGTGGCCGACGACGCTAGAATCCACAGAAGACTTCTTCCCAGAGTAAAACTACCTTTAGCTAAACTAAAACTAACACCAAATACGGAACCAAAAACAGTTCGTATTTTTTCTGGGAACATTTCAGTTAAACCTAGAAGTCTTTCTGCTACAGTTTCATCAATGTCCTGGAAATATACAGATAGATATTTTTAACGCAAAAATTTACAGCCTCAGCGATATAATAATAACAATAACTTTATTTCCAATCAGGAGTCCACATAGATAACAAACCTCATCTCTCAACCCCCCGTGTTTTGAGATATGAGATGGTGCTATATAGTTCCACGTAGCAAAGCCCAACGCAAATCACATCGGGCCTCGGTAAGCAAAATTGACAATATTTTTCATCAAAACGACGATTGATCAGGGGTTGAAAGGAATAAAATCATGGAGAGCTCTAAAAGCTGCACCTAAAATTACAAATTCAGAAAATCGCTCTCCTAAAAACCTGCACCTCAGATATTCTAGGAGAGTGTTTTTCAAAAGCAGATTTTGCTTATATTAAGTGCCCAAATACTCTTGGAAGAATCAATTAGTAGTAGTTTTTGGGTAGGCCAACACCTTGGGGTATAACTAAATGTGGATTATAAATGAAACAAATTGTTTATCCATTTCAAAAATATTAATTTTTAATTTTCTTATAGTCATCAAAATAAACAATAACAGCCTGCATCATTATGCATTTTTATATTTATATGTTGTTTTATATATGTAGGATTGTTATGAATTTAATAAATACATGAACAGACATAAAAACTAAACTATTTAATCTGATTCTCTCAGATCTATGTTTTAAATGTTTAACCAGGTAAGTAACAAATGTTAATGTCAATCTCTTAATATCGAACTCCACATGCTTTCCAATTTTTCTTCCTCAACAGGATCCATGTCGATTTCAATTTCGGAATCACAATCACCACTTTCAATTTCTCATAGACAGATTGTAAAGAATCAATAATCATAATGTCGGCACTTGGTTATGTGTAAATGAAAGCGGGAATGAAACGGAAATAATAGTAGTCACAGACTGCTTAGACGTAAATCCTTTTTATATAACAATGAATTATATCTAGTATAACCTAGACACGAGAACACTCGATTTAACTGTACCGAACGAAGACATATTTTAAATAAGACAGCAAGACATGCTAAGCGAGTAGTGCTCCTACGGTTAGGACTTTTTGTTATTCGAATAGCCGTAGCTATTAACCGGTTAGTAACCGTTAACCGTATTGTATCAATTTTAAACATAAAACAGAGCTTGTCAGGAGCTACGAGTCATTACTCGTGCACACGCTATACTCGCGTTATAAAAGGCATTACACGCGCAAAAAATTCAGAAATTTTTTCAGACATGTACAATTCTTTAATGAAAATTTAAACTATACAAGGCCGTAGCCTGGTTAACTTGGTTCATTTGAAACATTTTTTTAATTCAATATAACGATAATATACAAAACAATACTCAATTTCCCTTCGTACGTGACAGACGGCGATAATATTACGATTACACAATGTTACTAAGAATAGAATAAAGTAAATTAGAAGGCGTCTATTGATTGGACAATAAAGAAATAATTCCTCGCTTGCAAGTAGAATTTTTATGATTGGTTAATTTAACTGAAAACCAAAGTAGAATTTATTCGAGAAATTACGAGATATGAAACGTGTTCAATGCCGTAACGAATCTAGTACAATGTCATTTTCTAGCCTTTATGATTATATTTTGAATGGTGGTTACGTTTTGAAGTAAATAATAAACAAGGTAGAATGCTATTAATAGTATCATTGTTTAGCAGTCGACATCGTTGGACGACTGTTACATTCTAAAATTTTCAAACATCAAATACAAAATTACAACGGGCAAGTTTTGTTATAAAGAGGAACATAATCAGACAACTCTATGTAATGGGGGACATCTCCGAATAACCGTACCGTTGAATTCAAACTGTTTAACCGTCCAGTTCTAACCGTTTACGGCTATCCGACTAGTCGTAGGAGCACTATAAGCGAGTCTAAGCCGACTAAAGAAAATCATCACCGTGTCGACCACCGAATTTCTCGAGACCGTTAAATAAAAATAGATTATTTTTACGAGAATGTTATTAAAAGCGTTCGCGTTAATTCATTTAAAAGGTCGGGGGATATTTTAAAAAGAGAACCGTGAGTTAGCTTCGCGCACCTTTCGTTTCGAGCCCTGATTGATTATTGTTATTTATAATATTTCTGCCACATCCAACTGCATTTAAGCATATAATCCTACCTGAAACGGGAATAAATCATTGTATTTAAAATCGAGGCGTTAAGCCGTTACTAGGTGAGCGCCATTTTTAAACGGGAAATGTATGACGGTGTATGTCGGTTAAAAACAACGCTTCATTAATTCAAACGCAAATATTTGGAGTTAGGCGATACATGTAGTTGTGCCACTACATTGGCCTCTTTAACTTTAATTAGTTATAATAATATAAAATTATCTTATTTTTAAGATCTTACACTTAAAACTAAAGGCACCCAATCGTAGCTAAAAACAAGCACATCAGTATATCTCAACGTTTTTAGCTACGTTCTCGTAGATCAAGCAAAGGGAGAAAACTCAAATGACAGTCAAATAATAAAATATAACATTACACACAATAGCTTGGCTCCCAACAGGGGAGATAAATAAGACGAAATGAAATTTAGGTAAGCACTTACTGGTGGGGGAAAAATTGGAATCTGTGAAAAAATTAGAATCTTCAGTCATTTATTGATTTGCCAAGCCTAGACACAATCTAATTTTTACAAACATTCCAATTGTTTATCCTGTTTACCTAAATTGTATATTTTTGTGTTACCCTATATTTAGAATAATTTGATAGATATCAATGGCTACTGCCATACTGTTTAGCAGAAGGCGACGTATTTTAACAGCATGCTGTGTCGCTCATACTGACTCTAGCGAGATAAGCAAGGTCTTATTTTCTCACTAAAATGTTCCTTTACAATTATATTGTACAGGCGTTCACATGGACTGACACACCACCGTTTAGCAGTAAAAAGATGCACAGTAAAATTGACTGGGGGCCGTAACTTTTCGCCAAGGAGTCAACAACAAGGCGGTTTCTGAACGTACATGGCGAGTGTAATGGGACCTAGCTTAGGTTCATAGCTGAACTACATGCACTACGAAAACAAACCAATAAGTGTCGAGAAATCAGCTGCAATTTCTTTGAAGTCAAGTGTCTGCATTTAATTACGTTAAATTTTTCTTGTAAACGTCCGCTGAGCAAAATCGAAGTCTGCGTCGAAAATATTCAGGTCTTATCACACAGAATGCACACTGGGCCAAGCCAAGGACATTAAGTCAATCGCCAAACTAATTGACTTCAAATTTTCCTTATTCTTATGTTATGCAACGAACATTCATTATTCAACGAACATGCCGGCTACACTTTACCTCGTCGTCATCTTCTTCAATGGCTGGGGGTAATTCTGGTCTATGACCAAGTGCGTCTAGTGGATTTGTGCTTTGACCAAATAAGTTGGCAGGATCCATTTCAGTTATTTCACCAGTGACACTAAAAGAATGTTGTTTTTTTTTTAAGTTGACTTTTGCAAGAAACGAGAAACGTGCTGTGAAACGGAACCGGAAGTCAAGATACCGGCAAGTTTCTCTCAAATTTGAGTAAATATAGCCGAAACGAAATGTTTATGTGAAATATAGATTTCAATTTTCAACTAAATTCCAGAACAAATTAGATTTTTTTCTCGCATCATATGTATCGAAAATAAATAATTTCCAGGTATAAAAATCAAATCTATGTTTCGCCAGTTAGACCATGGACCGTCCATGGTTAGATTCAGATTTGCTCAAGAGACGTAAAATCGATTTTTTAAGGGTTAAATTACCGCCCCTGAAAATTGTTATTTTACAATTATACAAGTTTAAAAATTTTGAAATGACTTTTTTATCAAACCACAATGTGTAGATCGTATATTTAAAAACCATTATTAAAAATACATATTGTATTGTTTATAATTATAATTTAAAATGATCAAAAACATAGAAGAAAAAGCCACGAAATAAATTATAAACTAAAAATTATATAATGTGAATGTGCTGCCTTTCAATAAAAGGGCCTTTGCTGTCAGTAGCACTCAGTTCCAATCGGGCTGGGCGGAATCGCAATCAAGAGATTTCGGAGGCGTAATTTTTATTGCCAGTGGCAGTTGGTGCTCTTTCGCCCGACGCCCGAATTAAAATATGAAAAAAAGAAATAGTATATTTTGGGAATGTGTCATACCCCTCTATTATGTAAGAGTTTGACAGAGAGAGCTCACCGCGTTCTCAAAAGTAGATAATGCAAGATGAATAAAATTATATCGAAAATTTCATTCAAATTACTTCTGAGCGAAGTAATTTGTAGTTTTGAAAAGATGTGTGCATTGTTTGTAACCACCGTACTGATTGTTCGAGGCTTATAGCCTGTTCAGACGCTTATTTTTAAACCAGTTCATAATCGCTGGGGTTTTTAAGACAGCATCGTGTTGCGTTCACACGTACTATAAGCCAAACCAGTTTAACTATTCTGACCTCTTCGGTCGGAGGTTAGAGTTAACTGCGCATGGGTAGCTTCATATTCTTTATTCTGTTCTCGCACGCTTTCGATAACATTGGCACTGTCTGACCCCAATATTTTCACAGGAATGTAACTAACTGCATACTGCGCAAGCTCGAAGCAAGCTGGAGCTGGGTTTTTTAAGCCAACCCGTTCAGACGGCTAAGATGAACCAGTTTAAAATAAAAATCCTTCTCGAAGACAGGTCGCGAGCAGGGGTTTTTAAACTGGTTTATTTGCCCCACATTTGCGTTCAGACGCTTAAGTTAAACTGGTTTAACGACCCCCGGGGTTTTTAAACCAGTTCAACTTAAGCGTCTGAACGGGCTATAAGTCCCCCTTCTCCAGTCTAAATTAAATCTTTGAATGGCTGAACGAGAGTTGTTTATTATGGTCTTGCCGTCTTGTCGTGTTAATTATGTCTAATTAATAGTTTATATACGATTTTTAATAGGCCTAAAAAAAAGACCTGCAATAAGCAGATTTAGCTCTTGCATAATGCATGTTTAAAGGAACAGGGCATTCAAGACTGAGAAGTAGCCTGCGAATATACGGTACGCTTGGGCCCTAAAAAAAGTTAATGTTCACCCGTAGTTTGGGCCCCCTATAAATTGAATGTTTGGGGGCCCCTTTTGATTGAATTTGATACGCGATTGAAATTATTTCTTGACACATTACCTGTTTGGTGGTTTTGAGTCTCTGGAGGTATGTAACTTAGGATATATTCTAGATAGCACGCACATTTACAGTAAGTGCAAGACAACCGCACCACGCATAAACAAACAGAAGCCAATATGCCAAACACGCGGACTAGCCCCACATACACAACATAAACACTATTAAATCATGTGAATGGATCCAGGGCACACATTATCTAACAAAAAAAAAAAAATGATTTCACCTTTTATCAAAGAAAGATTATGACAATGATTTATTACAAACAAACAATGACCTGAATAACGAAGATGGGGGCGGAGCGGGGGTGGAGGGTCGTTTCCGTCTGTTCTTTATCGAATTCAAACTACCGAAAGTGTCTGTATGTGCACATCGACGTGTAAACGGACCTCAGTTTTCCGCCCACGCAACCGATACAGCATTATGAGTTTGGCTCACGATTGGCTTTGTCGGGCGGGAGCGGAGGTGTAACCTAGGTGGGAGAGAGAGAGAAATGGGGTTTAACGTCCACTCGACACAAACTAGGTCATTTCGGGACTAACATAAGGTTTAGTTTTATTTACATAATTCGCATGCGCGTAGGGGTCTTTAGTAGTGGGAGGAAACCGGAGGGCCCGGAGAAAACCCACAAGGTTAGACAGGCGACCCTACTCCTTGTCACGTACAACCGGGGATTCGAAACCACACCAGTTGACTCAATGACAGACTTAATGATACAGCGTGCACACGCTAACAATTCAGCCATCCAACCCCCCAGCCCAGGTGGGACTGCCCTGTGGCGCAAGTGAAAGACCACTACTGCGTTCCTCGTTCGACTTATATGCTATAGAGGAGCAGGTTCTCCCGGTCAATGAGTCCGCGTAGCCCCAATAACAATGCATGTAGTTAAACGTTATTCATACCTTTCAAACGGGTCAAATTGGGTACCATCCCCAACTTCAAAATGGTATTAACAGCTTTAGCCCTAAGCAGTGTTCGCGAATATTGCCCATTAATTTCAAGTACATAGATTTATCCAATTATTTTAATTTGATCTATCGTAGTTCAAAAGTGATTCAAAGATCAAGAGACAGAAGCAAAACTGACAATACGAATTCATATTCAGACAGTGGCCTATCATTTTCGTTAAAAGTGAAAGATCATAAACGCTACATTGTTTTATGCTCCTACCATACGAAGTCTTACTATTACTCAACAATTTTGTGAAATTTAAATGAAATAAAAATTATTTTTAACATCCTATTTTTCTACTCCAAGCGGGCTAATAAATACGGACAATAATTGCATTCCAACCGTCAAGTGTTCTTTTCCGTGCACGCAACGTAGTATATTGGACCTCGTGTTTTGCAATGTCATCCTATACCACTGACAAGGCAAAACCACTCTGGAATATCCGGAGTGAACCAGCGTCATCGCGGCCCCTAGTCTTAATGGGAGGTGCAATGAAATAAAATGGGGTTTAACGTCCTACTGTTCTGCTCCGAACTGAGCTAATGAAGACGGGGATACGCCATACAGTGTACCCCCCCCCCCACCAAAAAAAATTTAAAAAAATGTCGTAATTTTTCTAAATTTGCGTCATACGAATAGAAAATAATTTCCAGCTATAAATCAAATGTGTGTTCCTTCGTTTATGTTCGGATTAGGTCAAGGGATGTAAAAACAAATGCTCGCCTGTCCAACCTCGTGGGTTTTCTCCGGGTCCTCCGGTTTCCTCCCACTGCTAAAGACCCCTACGCGCAAGCGAATTATTGAAATAAAATTAAACCACATGTTAGTCCCGAAATGACTTAGTTTGTGTCGAGTGGACACTAAACCCCATTTCTCTCTCTCTCTCTCTCTCTCTCTCTCTCTCTCTCTCTCTAAAATCGAATGCAAATTCTTTCAAGGGTTAAATTACCCCCCCCCCCCCCTGAAATAATGGTAATTTACAATTATACAAATTTGAAAATTCTCAAATGAATTTTAATATCAAACCAGAATTTGTACATTCTATATTTGAAAATTTATATCAAAAATACATTTTACATTATGTATAATTATAATTTAAAATGATCAAAAACTTTGAAGAAGAAACCACGAAATAAATTATCATCTCAAAATCATATACTATGAATTTCCCGCCATTCATTAAAAGGGCCTTTGCTGTCAGTAGCACTCAGTTCCAATCGGGCTGGGCGGAATCGCAATCAAGAGATTTCGGAGGCGTAATTTTTATTATTGGTGGCAGTTGGTGCTCTTTCGCCTGACGCCCGAATTAAAAAGAAAAAAGTTTTCTAGATGCTACATCTCTCAGTTGATTTCAATCAGCTTCACTCTAATTGCAGAAAAGGGTCTCAATTCCCCAGTACGCCCGACCGAGGCTGCAGAACCCTAGACCCTAATAGTAAGTGCAGGAGAGAGAATATGCCCCCTTATCACTGCAGATACAAGAGTCCCAGTGACAACCATACAAGCTTAACCCCGCCCTTCTTGGGGATTTAGGTTGTACGTGACGAGGAGTGTGGTCGCCTGTCCAACCTCATGGGTTTTCTCGGGGTCCTCCGGTTTCCCTCCACTGCTAAAGACCCCTACGCACAAGCGAATTATCGAAATAAAATTGAACCATATGTTAGTCCTGAAATGACCTAGTTTGTGTCGAGTGGACGTTTTAACCCCCCCCCCCTCGCTCTCTCTCTCTGTTGGGGCTGGAGCCACGGTGGCTAAGTGGGTAAGACGCTGGCTCGCTAGCCTGGAGGTCGGGTGTTAGATCTCTGCATTGGCCGAGAAAGTTCATCTGGATTTTCCGACGTGGTTTCCCCTTGTCAGTGGTGCAGAACGGAGGGCCTGACAAGGACAGCTGTCTAGTCCTTCGGATGATACGAAAACCCGAGGTCCCGTGTATACATTGAAATGCACGTAAAAGATCCCTTGGAGTTGGAATTCGATATAAGAGTAGGCGATAGTGCCGCTGCCCGGGCAAAATTTGCCTCATAGCACACTGTATGGCGTATGCCCGTCTTCATTAGCCCAGTATAGGAACCGAACAGTAGGACGTTAAACCCCATTTCATTTTATTTCTCTCTTGGGGATTTCTACCTATGAATAATGACAAGACACATGTGTGATAAGATAAGATAATTTCTATTCTAGGGATAATGACCCACACAGCACAATCAATAATCAGGTAGAATAATCCATTTCCACGTTTCACTAACTGGTCTTATTATAGCTAAATATATTTGTTAAGGCCAGCTCAAGGTCGCTGAGATGTAAATAAGGCTATAGGGCACGTGATCGTTGGCGAGGTTGTAGGTTAGGGTTAGGGTCAGCATTTGGAAGTTGATTAAAGCATCAAATTGATGCCGTTCTGGCATTAAATACCGACAGAAAACCTGTCTATTTACCGTTCATTATCGACCATATTCGATTTGTGAAATGAATGCTAGGCTCCCCCCGTCACCTACGCATATGAATATAATGATTAAATCTAAATCTATTCCATAAGGCCAACTTCAAGTTTGGTCAAAGGTCACGAGATGTAAACAGGGCTAGCGCTAACCCTAACCCTGGACCTAGCCCTAATGCTTACACTAACCTACAATCCCGCCAACAATCACGTGTCCTGCCCTTCTTTACATCTCAACGACCATGACAAAAATTGAGCTGGCCTTAATAAATAGATTTAGCCCCGGAACCCTCTTGCTCCGACAAATGAATCTACCTCCTACACCTGCGCAACGTCACAAGGTTTATAATTGTGATTAATGATTTTTTCTTTCTTTTTTTTTACCTACATCATTAGTATATTGATTCTAGACTGCGGCTATACTTTACAGGTAAGGTTCGCACAGGTACTTATTTTGACGTATACGTTTTTCTTATGGAGTCATTAAAATATGTTTAAACGTAGATTATGCAAGAGCTAAATCTGCCTATTGCAGGCCTTTCTTTAGGTCTGAAATGTTATATAAATAATTATTTAGATATTTATTAACATAAAAAGACCTTAATCATGTGTCGGATTTTCACTGGATTTGAATATGATCTGCTGCTCAACATTCATTGATGATTAAATCCAAAATTGGATAATCGAGACGATGTTTTTTTTTTTATCGTACCGACTTTAGTAATGATGATCGAGGCTAGGCCTAAAATTCAATCGGTATTATCATGCACGGTTCAGAGTGGAGCAATTTGACTGAAATTTTCAGAATATTATATTTACGTTATCTATTTTTTAACTATTATAGCGTGAAGTATCAACTCTTTATTTAATCCCCATAATTTCCCTTTAATTTGTGATCTCTCTTATAGTTATGCATTTTGGTATTTCAATTGATATTATATATGTACACAACTGTTCTTACCTAGTGTTCTCCACCTGTCTGGTCCCTGATCTGAGTGGATGTTATTACCTCCCTTGAAGCATAAAAATAGAATTAATAGTCTTGAATGTCATAACTCTCGTGTTCAACGAGTTTCAGTTCCGTCTTGATAATATTTCCTAGAGTAAAAGTAGACAAAATTATGTCAACAGTATTTGAGATCAGATGGGTGACTTTCATGAAAATCTGTAGACCGATTATTTAAACATACTGCCCGATTCTTCCTAATGTTTCATTTCCTTTCCAAGCATAATTTAGATATAGTTTCATTGGGAAGAAAATATTGTCAAAAAGGAATTTTGCAAAAATTCAATGAACAACCATTATCATGTAAATTTTATGAGAATAATTTTAGAAGATCATTTGACTTATTACAGTGTCGAAGTGTCTCGTTTTATCCTCTGAAAAAACAAAGTTTACATAATAGATTTACCAGGTATGTCAAATAACCATATTCAGAATAATTTTCAACTTTTATAATTGTGGCATAGGCCTAATTCTGTTGAAGCTAGGATATGGAGTTCCCAGCATTGACACATATAGGACTGACATATCCTGATTTTAGAGTCTCTAAACCTTGGAGACCTGATTCATATAATACTACTCTTTATTGAATTAGGGGGGTTGGGTGGCCCCCTTATGAAAAAGTCCTATAGAAAAAGTACAGGTTTCTATACAAGTTTGTGGGATTCTATAGAATGCTATAGAATGCTGCAGGATAACGAATTCATTTTGTATTTTTTTTTACATGACTATAGATTCAAAAACATGTACTATAGTTGTGTAGGATTGGTAGATGAATATTTTCCAAGTGTAATTTCTATAGAATTCTATAGAATACGGTACTGTAAGAAACTATTGGAAAAAAAATAAACCTACAGATTCATTGGTGCTGCTTTAGATTTCTATATAGAAAGAACTAACTTTATCCTCGGGTCAGTTGAGTAATCCTTCAGTTTTCTATAGCCTTTGTGTTAAAAACTATAGTTGGCTATAGAACTAACTTGTATTCTCATGTCAGCTGTGATTCCTATAGATTTGGTGGTAAAAACTATAGTTTTCTATAGAACTAACTTATTGGCTCAAGTCAGTAGTATATTCCTATAGTTTTCTATGACATTCTGTAGAAAACTAAGGGGAAAAATAATTTCTATAGATTTTGTGGAGAAAAAGATAATGCATGAGCTTTCTATAGTTTTCTGTAGTATTTATATGTATTTTAACAAATAGCCTACTATAGTTTCCTACAAAATATTGTAGAAACAATGTTCTATACTACAGATTTCATAAATTGGCGATGTCTTTTATTCATACTATAGTTTACAATAGAATTTAGTGACCACTAAATGTGTGCAAGCGAATTATTGAAATAAAATTGTACTATATGTTAGTCCCAAATTGAGCTGGTTTGTGTCAAGTGGACAATAAACCCCATTTTTTGTTATCGTTTTACGTTTTTCTCTCTCAACATCACTAATCGCCAAACCTTTTTATTTTTTTTCTGCAGTTTACAGAATTGTGATTTTTCAAGAATGGCATCTTGTGGATTCAAGAATAGATTGAGTGAAGAAAAATCCCCATATCTGCTTCAACATGCCCACAATCCAGTTGATTGGTAAAAAAACTGTTAATAGATCTAGGGAGCTTGGAATGGGGAAGGTCTGATAATTGTTTCTATCCTTGTGGTATAAAATATTCATTAAGCTGGTATTATGCAAGAGCTAAATCTGCCCGGGGGGTTTGTGGTATAAAATATTCATTAAGCTGGTATTATGCAAGAGCTAAATCTGCCCGGGGGGTTGGATGGCCGAATGGTTAGCACATGCGCACTGTCATTGAGTCAATTGGCGTGGTTTCAATTCCCTGGTTGTACGTGACAAGAAGTAGGGTCGCCTGTCCAACCTCGAGGGTTTTCTCTGGGTCCTCCGGTTTCCTCCCACCGCTAAAGACCCCTACGTGCAAGCGAATTATTGAAATAAAATTGAACTATATGTTAGTCCCGAAATGACCTAGTTTGTGTCGAGTAGACGTTAAACCCCATTTCTCTCTCTCTTTCGCTAAATCTTCCTATTGCAGGTCTTTCTTTAGTTCTGAAATGTTATCTAAATTATTAATTAGACACGAGTTGACTTACCAAGACCATAATCAACTCTTGATGCCATTGAATGGCTACGCTATAAGTAGATTTAAATATGTTTTGTGCTGGATGAAATAACTGTAAAAATGGATAATCAAGCTTTTGTTTATTATTGTAACAATGGTAGTTATAACAATCAAGGCTAGACTATAATTGTATCGCTAATATCTAGGCTCAGAATGAAATAATTTGACATAAATTTTCAGCATATTTTCTTTTAATTATTTTTTTTTTAACTGTTATAGTGAGAACTGTCAGCTCTGTATCTAATCTTACCTAATGTCCCTTTAAGTCAGATCCTTGCTAGGCCTGAAATGAAAATGGTCATACCTTAGTTTCAAAATAACCAAGTATTCTGAATCCCCAGTTCTAATTCTGAATCCCTAGTTCTAATTCTGAATCCCCAGTTCTAATTCTGAATGCCCAGTCCTAATTCTGAATGCCCATTCCTAATTCTGAATGCCCATTCCTAATTCTGAATGCCCATTCCTAATTCTGAATCCCCATATCTAATTCTGAATCCCCATATCTAATTCTGCATCACCATTCATAATTTGTATGCCCTATTTCTAATTTTGAATCCCCATTCCTAAATTTGAGTCCCTAATTCTGAATGCCCTAATTTGTATTCCCTATTTCTACTTCTGAATGTCAATTTCTAATTCTGAATTTCCATTTTTAAATTTGAATCCCCATTCTTAATTTTGAATCTCCATTCCTAATTCGTACCCGTCTTCATTAGCCCAGCATAGGAGCAGAACAGTAGGACGTTAAACCCCATTTCATTTCATTTACTGAATTTTAGATTTTTTCTGCGATTAATCCAAAATAAATGATGATATTTCAGGTATCCTTGGGGAGAAGAAGCGTTTCAGAAAGCTCGCGATGAAAATAAAATGATCTTTCTATCCGTGGGGTACTCCTCTTGTCATTGGTGTCATGTGATGGAGAGAGAATCGTTCGAAAACGAGGACATCGGACAGGTTCTCAATGAAAATTTTGTCAGTATTAAAGTAGATTCGGAGGAGAGACCTGATGTAGACCGGGTTTACATGACTTTTGTTCAGGTATTTATATAATATGATCGTGTAGTTGTTCTCATGCCTGGGGGATCATGTGGCTAAGTGGGTAAGACGCTGGCTCGCTAGCCTGGAGATTGGGTGTTCGATCCCTGCATTGGCCGAGAAAGTTCATCCAGATTTTCCGGCGTGGTTTCCCCTTGTCAGTGATACAGGACAGAGGGCCTGACAAAGACAGCGGTCTAGTCGTTCGGATGGGACCAAAAACCGAGGTCCCATGTACACATTGGCGTGCACGTAAAAGATCCCCTGGCAGTTGGAATTCGATATAAGAGTAGGCCGTAGTGCCGCTGCCTGGGCAAAATTTCCCTCATAGGACACTGTATGGCATATGCCCGTCTTCATTAGCCCCGGTTAGGAGCAGAACAGTAGAACGTTAAACCCCATTTCATTTCATTTCATTTTGTTCTCATGCCCTGTCTTTATTAGCTTAGCCCAGTCGTAGCAGAACAGTAGAACGTTAAACCCCATTTCATTTCATTTCATTTTGTTCTTATTCCCTGTCTTTATTAGCTTAGCCCAGTCGTAGCAGAACAGTAGGACGTTAAACCCCATTTCATTTCATTTGTTCTCATGCCCAAATCTTGCCAGCCCATTATATTTTTTTGGCCCAAATTTTGGTGAGAAAGTTGCTCTGGATTATCCAGCCCTCTTTCTCGGTCACCAGAAATAATCACTGGTTTTATTCTAAAAACACGATGTATCTACCAGTATCCTCGTTATCAATCACAATTGAGGATACTTATTGAAACGTTGTGCTTTTAGAATAAAAGTGATTGTTCACCATATCAATTGTGTTCTGTTAAAGGGACAATAACACTCTTGCTGGCTTGACAGTTCCACAAAATAAAAAATAGCCTTATTCTAAGTACTAGATGTGTTAGTGTCCTACCTGTTGTGTAAATTATCCATTAAATCCTATTTTACTTGTCCAGAGGGTTCAAAAATATTTTTAAATCCAAGTCACATTTGAAAAGCTTTACGTCAGGCTTTTCAAATCATTTAGTTTAATTTTTCCAATTTTTTAAATTAGGTGTGTTAAGATGAAATTTGTATCATCAATTAATTGGAATATTGTAAAATAGTACAATTTGTTGACCAGAATAAAGATTGGGACATATTATTCAGTTACAACAAGAGTGGTATTGAGCCTTTAAAGTGTTTTCCGATCGCTATACGTCACTTAAAGATTACTGGTCAACAGTTGGAGCAACTGTCTTCATTAAATAAGTCTAATCCGAACCCAGGAGGTCCTAGTTGAGAGGCAGTACCTTATAGTTTGGCCCCTTCTAAAGTTAAGATAAGATTCTAATTGATTACACTAAAATTAAGGATCTAAGGATTTAAAGATTCTAATTAGGGTTTCACACTGCACTGGTGAAACCCGTCATTACTGCATTGCAGTTCTAATTCTAATTAAATTGACAAAGTAAGCATAGACAATTCTGCCTCATTTTCAGCAGAATTTTATTATAAATATCCTAATTTATAAAATTGTTGCAGGCTACGACAGGAGGAGGTGGGTGGCCGATGAGTGTTTGGTTGGCGCCAGACCTGACGCCGATAATTGGTGGAACGTATTTCCCCCCAGACGATAGATATTATAACAGACCAGGATTTAAAACTATTTTATTAAATATAGTAGAACAGGTTAGTTTTTTTGTCATTCACAGGTCTTTTTGGTAGCTCTTGTTATGTTTTATAGCCAGGTGAAATATCACAGACAGTGACAGTGTGACACATTGAAGACAGTTTAAAGCTACAATTTCATATTTTTAAGTTATATTTTTAAAATGTATTAAAATAAAGCCTTCAAATCGATGCTATGTATAAACAGTCCTAACTTGATAAAGGATAATCCTATTAATCCTATAATTCACTATTGCCAGTTGAGAAATTGGCAAAAATATCATTTTCAACTTCAAATTCAAACGTTTGAAGGAAGCTATTCCATGGTAGGGAATAGAAAAACAAGGGAGGTAATTAGGAGGTAATTCTGTTATTATTTCCGGTGTGAAACAGTTTTGAGTGTGAGAATGATAACTATGATCGCATAATATTGTAGACAGACAGACCAACAGTGACATATTGTAGACAGTCCTGTGGTGACATATTGTAGACAGTCCAACAGTGACAAATCATAGACAGTCCAGCAGTGACATACTGTAGACAGTCCAGCAGTGACATATCATGGACAGTCCAGCAGTGACATTGTAGACAGACCAACAGTGATATATTGTAGACAGTCCAGTAGTGACATATTGTCGACAGTCCAGCAATGACATATTGTAGACAGTCCAGTGGTGACATATTGTAGACAGTCCAACAGTGACAAATCATAGACAGTCCAGCAGTGACATATCATGGACAGTCCAGCAGTGACATTGTAGACAGACCAACAGTGATATATTGTAGACAGTCCAGTAGTGACATATTGTCGACAGTCCAGCAATGACATATTGTAGACAGTCCAGCAGTGACATGAATCTATTATTGGTGAGAAATTTTTATATTTATGTAGTAATTGTATTTAGATGTGTATATATTTTACAGTGGAATAGTAACCAAAGTGAACTACAAGAAAAAGGCGCTAGAATATTGACAGCTTTACAAAAGAGGACAAAATTTGAACATCAAGGCCAACCCATCCCTGATAAAGAAACCTATGAAAGATGTTTTGAATCTCTGGAAGCTGTGTATGACAGGGAATTTGGGGGATTTGGCAAAGCTCCAAAGTTTCCTCAATCCTGTAAGTTAAATAAAATACAAATTGGGTTTAACTTCCTACTTTTCTGCACTGACTGGGATAAATGAAATGGGGTTTAACGTCCTACTGTTCTGCTCCTATACTGGGCTAATGAAGGTGGGCATACGCCATACAGTGTGCTATGAGGGAAATCTTGCCCGGGCAGCGGCACTATCGCCTACTCTTATATCGAATTCCAACTGCCAAGGGATCTTTAACGTGCATTCCAATGTATACACGGGACCTCAGGTTTTTTTGTCTCATCCGAAGGACTAGACAGCTGTCCTTGTCAGGCCCTCTGTCCTGCATCACTGACAAGGGGGAACCACGCCCGAAAAATCTGGATGAACTTTCTCGGCCAATGCAGGGATCGAACACCCGACCTCCAGGCTAGCGAGCCAGCGTCTTACCCACTTAGCCACACTTCTGTGTTGTTATAAAACTTAAAATTTTGGACCCATAATGAGATTCTTATCTGGTTTGATTTCAGCTAACTTTGATTTTGTGCTAAGATATTTTGCTATGAACAAAGACAATGAAAATGGTCGCCAAGCTCTGGATATGACAGTAAATACGTTAAAAATGATGGCTAAAGGAGGAATACACGACCATATAGCTCAGGTAGGAATACATGACCATATAGCTCAGGTACAACCAAGCAGTCATCCTCGCCATGTTCTAATTTTGACATCCAATCAAACATCGAAATATGTCAATCGATGTGCAATTATCAATGGGACAAGCATGCCAAAATTCATCCACTGACGAAGAGCGTCACCGCCAAGAAAAAGAGGAAGCAGAACAGCAACTTGATGAGTAGCGCTTTGGGTGCAGTTTCTGGTCCAGAATTATTTGATCATGGTTCAAGCAGGGATCTTAATTAGCTGATTTTAGTCGGCTAAAGCCAGTCGATGTTTGAGAAAGCCGAGTGATAAAACAGTATTGCTGTTTGAAGTGTTGTGCCCTATTCAAGAATATTTTAAAGGGGCGTTATGGGAGATTGGATAAAGAGCTGGTAGTTCTCTCTCTAATAGTTAAAAACTAGATAATGTAAAGATAATATGCTGAAAATTTCATTCAAATTTCTCCACTCTGAACCAAGATATGAGCGATTGAGTTTTAGGCCTAGCCTCGATCATCTTTACTAATGTCGGTAAGATAAATAAACAAAGTCTTGATTATCCATCACAAAATGTATTCAAATCCAGTAAATATCGCAGGCTAGCGATGGTATCGAAAGTTGATTATGGTCTCGATGCCATCGCTAGCCTGCGATATTCAGCGGGTGGGATTACATTTTTGGAAAACTAATTAAACATAAAAATCAAGACTTTTTTTTTTATCGTACAGACTTTAGTAATGATGATCGAGGCTAGTCTAAAATTTAAAAGCTAATATCGCGGTTCAGAGTGGAGAAATTTGACTGAAATTTTCAACATATTCTATATACATTATCTTTTTTTTTAACTATCATAGCGAGAACTGTCAGCTCTTTATCTAATCTCCCATAATGTCCCTTTAAATAAAGTCTGATTTTTTCTCCCTACAGGGTTTTAACTGTTATCCAACAAACATTTCTTGTATTAAGGTCTGATTTTTTTCTCTCTGCAGGGTTTTCACCGTTATTCAACGGATGATATGTGGCATGTTCCTCATTTTGAGAAGATGTTGTATGATCAAGGACAGTTAGTTGTTTCATATTTGGAGGCCTTTCAGGTATTTATGCATAAATATTAAAATAAACGACCACACTTAGTTACCCTAATCAGAGCTACGCATGTTGAGGGGGGATGGATGGCGTTGTATCATAAGGTCTGTCATTGTGTCAACTGGTGTGGTTTCGATTCCCCGGTTGTATGTGACAAGTAGTAGGGTCGCCTGTCCAACCTCTTGGGTTTTCTCCGGGTTCTCCGGTTTCCTCCCACTGCTAAAGACCCTTACGCGCGTACGTGATAACCATTCGGTCATCCAACCCCCCTGCTGCTATTGAACTGCTGTGATTATTTTAATATGTTAAATAAAGTTGTGTTTATGTTTTTAGATCACGAGGAATAAAATATTTGAAGACACAGCTCGTGATATTTTAGAATATGTTTCTAGAGATCTTAGTCACCCTGTAAGTTTTCTATACATATTTATAGTTACGTTTAGTTGCTCTGTGGCACGATACAATATATTTACGTTAAAACATTTCACAGTTAGATAAACAACCAACAACAATTCTAGTATAGATACATTAAAACATTTCACAGTTAGATAAACAAGAAACAACAATTCTGGTATAGATACATTAAAACATATCACAGTTAGATAAACAACCAACAACAATTCTAGTATTTTTTAGTTATATTTTTAAAATGTATTAAAATAAAGCCCTAAAATAGATGGTATCTATAAACAGTCCTACCTTGTTAATGAATAATCCTATTAATCCTATAATTCATTATTGCCAGTTGAGAAATTAGCAAAAATATCATTTTCAACTTCAAATTCAAACGTGGGGAATAGGAAAACAAGGGAGGTAATTTGGAGGTAATTGTGTTATTATTTCCGGTGTGAAGATGGGTAAGTGTGAGAAAGATAACTATCATCGTATGATAGTGGGTTGACAACCTTTTGAGCAAAAGACATAGAAATAATTATGTTTTGACTTTCTTAGAAAATATGAAATTGTAACTTTAAAACACATATTTTAAAAACGGGCGTATTAACTGTCAATGGATTGTAAATATTAATACTGCTTCAGGATGGTGGATTTTACAGTGCTGAAGATGCTGATTCGTATCCTACCCATGATGCAAACGAGAAAAAAGAAGGCGCATTTTGTGTTTGGACTAAAGAAGAATTAACGTCACTTCTAACAGAGAAAGTGGTGGGAAAAGACCACACAACTTTTGCCGATATTTTTTGTTGGCATTATCATGTGATGGAAGACGGCAATGTGGATCCATATCAGGTATTTCTCGTCTATTTCCATTATTTTTATGTCTGGAAAAGAAGGTGTGACTAGTTGTTTGGATGGGGCAAAAAATTGAGGTAGTGCAAATAAAAAATCACTTTGAAGAAATGTAGGCCAAAATAAACCAGCCACCATTTACCGCCTGTGATCTAACTTGCATGTGTTATACCATTTGGCCACCAAACCCACGCATTCAATATTGCCAAATATTTGTTAATGCCCAAATATGTCAAACATACATTAATGCCCAAATATACATTAATGCCCAAATATGGCCAATATACATTAATGCTCAAAATAATATGCCCAACTATGGCAAATATACATTAAAGTCCAAATATACATTAATACCCAAATATGTCAAATATACATTTATGCCCAAATATGTCAAATATACATTAATGCCCAAATATGTCAAATATACATTAATGCCCAAATATGTCAAATATACATTAATGCCCAAATATGTCAAATAAAAAACCTTAAGACTTTTTTTGATTCCAGGATCCACATGATGAATTAAAGGGAAAGAATGTTTTGGTTGTCAAGGGCAACATACAGCAGACGGCAGCACACCAGGCAGTAGATATAGACATAGTAGAAGACGTTTTAGAAAAGTGTCGGAAAATTTTATTTGAAGAAAGATTAAAAAGACCCAAGCCTCATCTTGATAATAAAATGGTGGCTGCATGGAATGGTGGGTGAATTTTATAGACGATGTTCTTTATATCTTCTTTCAAATGTTTCCGCTCATTTAGATGTGGTTAAAGTCTCTGATAGCGATTTGACAGCTTCAGCGACCTGCGGTTATAATTTTTTCATGACTACTGGTCGGGACCAGAAACTGAACGCAGATGGTCCGAACCATCGTCTGTTCAAAGCTGGCTGCCCCCATGGACATTGTGATGTCATTTTGCTCTGCTTTAGACCTCGACCATAACCCTGAAAAAAATCCTTAAGCTCAAGGAAGGTCTATACATCTGTCCATGGAGGATAATGAATCGCTATGCTATATGATGTTATACAGTTTATTAAACAATAATAATTGCGCGATTCAAATTAATTTTTCCATGTAATTTGGGTGGCCGAATGGTTAGCGCATGTGCGCTGTATCATAAGATCTGTCATTGAGTCAACTGGCATGGTTTCGATTCCATGGTTGTACGTGACATGGAGCAGGGTCGCCTGTCCGACCATGTGGGTTTTCTCCAGGTCCTCCGGTTTCCTCCCACTGCTAAAGACCCCTACATGCAGTGGGATCTTCGTACATTCCTATAAGAAGTCATTTAGCCAAGTTGCGATCTTTTGTCAAAATAAAAACACAAAAATAAAAACCTCCCTTCTGCATCAAATTTTGGGTTAGGATTGTCTGAGTTATATTATTTGATATTTAAACATACATTATGCAAGAGCTAAATCTGTCTAAATAATAATCTAAATTATTAATTAGACATTAATTAACCTATCCAGACCATAATCAACTCAAGATGGCATCGCTAGCCTGCGATCTTTAGTGGATTATGAGCCGATTTACTGCATAACTTTCCTTCACGATTTAACGATTAAATGGATAATCGAGACTATGCTGTTTATCGTACTGACTTTAGTAATGATAATCGAGGCTAGGCAGAAATTTCAATTGCTTAGTTCTCTGTTAATAGTGGATCAATTTGAATGGAATTTTCAGCATATTCCCTTTACATTATCTAGTTTGTAACTATTATAGTGAGAACTGCCAACTCATTATCGAATCTCCCATAATGTGTCTTTAAAGGTGAGAGAGGATAAAACTGTGTGATATTTCGTGTTCGATATTTTACAGGTTTAATGATCTCTGGTTATTCTAAAGCTGGTCAGATACTCGGAGATAATCTCTACACTGAACGAGCCGTCAAGGCAGCCGAGTTTCTTTATACCCACATGTTTCTACAAGATTGGGGGATTTTATTACGCAGTTCGTATACAACTGAAGATCAAAATATCTCTCAAATGTAAGATATATACAATATATAAATTGTCATTAGATGGAGACAAGATTACAACAACGCTGTGACTATTTTGAGAAATGAAATGAAATGGAGTTTAACATCCTACTGTTCTGCTCCGACTGGGCTAATGCAGACGGGCATACGTCATACAGTGTGCTGTGAGGGAAATTTTGCACGGGCAGCGGCACTATGGCCTACTCTTATATTGAATTCCGACTGCTATTTTCAAAATTCCAGCGACACAAGCGCAATGCCCTTTGACTTGCATGAGACAATTGATATCTCCTCCGAACATTTTGAGACATTTTGGAAACTCCCTTGTGCATGCCGTTTGAAAATTATTGCCAAGATTCGTAGCCCAGTTAGGAACTAGTGCTTTCACTTTCTTTTCATTTACTTCAGAACAACAAGATATGTTTCCAAAGAATATGACAGTTTTTAGCTTTATCGCTACTGTTACGGAGGGGCTTGGGTGGTCGAATGGTTTTGCATGTGTGTGCTGCGACCGTTAGGTCTATCATTGAGTCAACTGGCTTGGTTTTGATTCCCGGGTCGTACGTAACAAGGAGTAGGGTCGCCTGTCCAACCTCGTGGGTTTTCTCCGGGTCCTCCGGTTTCCTCCCACTGCTAAAGACCCCTACTTGAAAGCGAATTATTGAAATAAAATTGAACCATATGTTAGTTCCAAAATGACCTGGTTTGTGTCGAGTGGATGAGTGGACATTGAACAAGTTGTTTGGCTGTTATGACCAAAATGTTTGGCCATTTTGACTAAATTTTTTGGCCATTATGTCCATAACCTGGTTTTATTAAGAGCTCTGTTTTTCATTCCATGTTTTTTATAGTGAGAGTACAATAGAAGGATTTGCGGATGATTATGCATTTGTTATACGTGGTTTGTTAGATCTTTATGAGGCGTGTCATGACCAAAAATGGTTGGAATGGGCGGAGCTACTACAAGAGAAACAGAATGAGTTGTTCTGGGATAAAGAAGGCGGAGCTTATTTCAGTAGCTGTGATGACGATCCATTCATTGTTATCAGAATGAAAGAAGGTATTTGGAATGATCCAGGCTTTTTGTTTTCATCTTTTGAAATACACTTGGGAAAGAAAATTTATCATCTAAAAATTGGAAATGCAAAGAAATGTTTTTTGGTCTATTCAAGAAAGTTATCATTTGGCTCTTAAGTTTTCCTGTAAATGTTGTTTGGTCTATTTAAGAAGATGATCGATCAGCCGCTAAGTTTTCCTATTTTGGTCCTGTACCATAATAGTACCTTGTTTTGGCTACAAAAAATGCAGTATAAAGTGCTCAATAAACCTAATAATGATAAGTAAAAATGAAAGAAAAAGTGTCATGTGTTTTGGATGGGAAGAAAAACCAATGTCCACCCTTGACTGTGAAGAGTGAGCAGAAACGCTGTTGTATGGGCAAAATGAAATGAAATGAAATGGGGTTTAACGTCCTACTGTTCTGCTCCTATACTGGGCTAATGAAGACAGGCATACACCATACTGTGCTATGAGGGAAATTTTGCCCGGGCAGCGGCACTATCGCCTACTCTTATATAACGAATTCCAACTGCCAGGGGATCTTTTACGTGCATTCCAATATATACACGGGACCTCGGTTTTTCGTCTCATCGGAAGGACTAGACAGCTGTCCTTGTCAGGCCCTCCGTCCTGCATCACTGACAAGGGATGGGCAAAATGTCTCTCAATGTTCACTGCATGGCGTGTATGCCCAACTTCATTAGCTCGGTTGTTGCAAAAAAATAGAATGTTAGTCTCATTGGAGTTCAATATAAGAGTAGACTGTAGTGCCGCTGTAAGGACAAAATTTTTTTCCAAATCCCCAGTTGTACATGACAAGGAGTAGGGTTGCCTGTCTAACCTCATGGGTATTCTCTGAGTACTCTAGTTTCGTGCCACTGCTAAAGACCCCTAAGCGAATTATTGAAATAGAGTTGAACCGCGTGTTAGTCACAAAATGACCCAGTTTGGTTGAGTGGATGTTTAACCCTCCCTCTCTCTCTCTCTCTCTCTCTCTCTCTCTCTCTCTCTCTCTCTGTATGGTGTATGCCTGTCTTCATTAACATTTCATTTCGTCTGCTTTAGATCAAGATGGGGCTGAACCAAGTGCTAACTCAGTTTCTGCTATGAATTTACTCCGCCTGTCAGCCATGTTGGATCGTAGTGAATGGTTGGCCATGGCAACCAAGATATTCTGTGTATTTCATGGTAGATTAACAGAAGTTCCACGAGCTGTACCAGAATTAATTTGTGCTTTAATGGTTTTCCACTCAACAACTAAACAGGTTAGATTCATATTTTAGATGGGGCGAGTCCGATTGATAATAGAAGCACATTTGAATGAGGTGAATTAAGCCTAGGACAGACAAGCTTATTTTTTTGCCAGATCGCAAGATTGAAATTCGTCAGCGATTTTTTATGGCCGATCAAAACGGGCACACTTAGCGATTTTCTCGTGAGTGTACTCCACTCTGCGAGTAAATTAGGTCAATCATGTGACTCATGTGGAAGCCATTTTGAGATCATGTGTTATAAAAATGTTTCGCTCGACAATATAAGCTGGACACAGACGAGCGGATTTTCTGGTGAATCAATTGTCTGTTCTTAATTTCTGCAGTGCTTTGAGTTTTTAAAATAACTTTCAGACCTCTCTGTATTCCTAATCAAAATGTGAATAGTTGCTTAGTTGTTTTGAAGATTTAAATTAGCCTTCCGAATCACTCCGCTCAGCTACAAACAAATAAGCTTTTTATCAACTGCTGGCCCCCTAACCCTCCCCATCCCCTTCCATAAACTGGATCCACATATGCAGCATTTCGGTATTCCTAAAGCCTAGTTGTGGGGGGGCTGGATGACTGAATGGTTAGCACGTGTGTGCTGCATCATAAGGTCTCGATTCCCCGGTTGTACGTGACAAGGAGTAGGGTTGCCTGTCCAACCTCGTGAGTTTTCTCCGGGACCTCTGGTTTCCTTTCACTGCTAAAGACCCATACGCACAAGGGAATTATTGAAAAAAAATAGAACCATATGTTAGTCCCGAAATGACCTAGTTTGTGTCGAGTGGATGTTAAACCCCATTGTTTATACAGGTTATCATCTTGTCAGTCCCATTAGGGTTAGAAGCCACGGTGGCTAAGTGGGTAAGATGCTGGGCACGTATTTGATCATTGCATTGACTGAGAAAGTTCAACGAGATTTTCCAACGTGGTTTCCCCTTGTCAGTGGTGCAGGACGGGGGACTTGACAAGGACAGCTGTCTAGTCGATCGGATGGGACGAAAAACTGACATCCCATGTATACATAGACGTGCAGGTAAAATATTCCTTGGCAGTTGGATTTTGATATAAGAGTAGGAAATAGTGTCACTGCCCAGGCAAAATTTCCCTCATTGCAGACTGTTTGGCTTATGACTGTCTTCATTAGCCCAGTCGGATCAGAACAGTAGGACATTAAACCCCATTTCATTTCATTTACCAACACCGGGCGTGAACCCACGGCCTCCAGACTACCAATCCAGCGTCTTACTCACTCCCAAAGTAGGACGTTCAACCCCATTTCATTTCATTTCATTTGTTTTCAATCTCAGTATTCAGTAATTTTACAAAATACTGTATACATTTATTTCCTTACAGATTATTGTTGCTGGAAATCCTGAAGCAGACGACACAGCGGCCATGTTGAAGTCTATTCACTCCAAGTTCCTCTTGAACAAAGTTCTACTTTTAGCCGACAGCAATGAAAATAGTTTCCTCTATCGAAAATTACCCCAATTAAAAAATCTTAAAATGATCGATGGGAAAGCTACAGTTTATGTTTGTGAAAATTTCACTTGTTCTTTGCCTACAAACTCCACAGAAGATTTGATAAAGCAACTCAGTGACATTTAATAAAGATCAATCTGATCTATGTTTCGATTCGTTTTTTTAAAACTTTCGACATCTTTAATAGAAGGCTTGATCTCGCTTTAACTACGTACATCTTATCAAGGCCTTCACGTAATACCCTGCATATTGCGCCACTAATTTTGATTGGGTACAAGCCCATATTGTGAGCCTATCAGATTCATCAATCGTCACGAATACCAAGTCTCGCGCTTTCAAGCTAAAATGTCTACCTGTGATAATCGAGTTGCAAAGTTCAAAGTTCATTCAATGCCAAGGTTTCCGTGGAGGTCGCGATGTCACAACCTCTGATTGGATGCTACTGCTCACGTGTCTGTAGATAACATAGCTATAAGTTTGGAAATTGTGAAGTAAACAAGTAACGGCCAGATGTTGTGAAACTCGCAGTCGTTGCTTCAGGAACATGTACTGGAAAGTCGCATCAGAGGTCGTACGAGTGGCTTTTGACCCAATGATTTCAGACATTTGATTAACCAATCAGTGTTGATGTTTCTAGTGGGTTACCCACAGTTCCGTGCACCTTGCGCCAAAAGCTTGTCGTTTCATTAGCTAATACCTCACATCATCCAGAACATGTGTTATATAACAACTCTACCAGATCCTAGTGTAAAACAAAATTTTGAACTATAAAAAACGAAACGAAATAGGATCTGTGTTTTAATCAGATAGATAGAGTTGATACTTATGGAATCTACAATTAAGATTTTTTAAATCCAAAGGAAACCTTCAAATCCCAGCTCAAAACATTTCTGTTTGGAAATCCCTTGTTAAGGAAATAATTAGTGGTAACTCAGGTACCAGGGCCCTGTTTCTCGAAATCTTAACTAAAGATAAAATCCAATTTTAGTAGATACTTCAATTTTGATTGGCTAAGCACTAAAACTGGATTTTATCTTAGTTAAAATTTCGTGAAACAGGCCCCAGCAGTACATTAGGAACTTCAGAATTATGTGCTTTATAATATTTGTCATTAAATCATATAAGTGGTCAATATTCTAAACTAATGTTTAGTATGTATAAAAAGTGGTTAGAAATTATACAGTTGTCATTAATTAGCAGCTGTGTAATTAGCTCTAAAAGATGTTACTACTGGTGTAAAAGCGTGACTATTTATAACACCCATCACTATTGAATACACAAACCTGGACATTAGTGGTGTATATCATTCAATAGTCACAGTTTTAATACCTTAGATTGACAAACCACGACTCCTGCCAGATTACTAACAATTTTAACTAACTAATACACATTATGTATATAAACTGACGACTTTGATCTATTAGTGTCATATATTTTCATTTATAACAGTTAGTGGTTTCGATTCCCCGGTTGTATGTGACAAGGAGTAGGGTCGCCTGTCCAACCTCGTGGGTTTTCACCGCTTCCTCCAGTTTCCTCCCACTGTTATTTGTTGTTTAGTCACAGTGTTATGTGTCTGGTATATCTCTAGTTCTTTTGGGTATGCAGGGTTGGGTGGCCGATTGGTTAACAAGTGTGCATTGGACAGGCGACCCTACTCCTTGTCACGTACAACCAGGGAATCAAAACCACGCCAGTTGACAAATGACAGATCTTATGATGCAACGCGCACATGTTAACCATTCGGCCGTCCAACCTCCCTCTGGTATAAGAGATATGCTTATTGTAAACGAGGAATGAACTATTTAGAGTTTTTATAACTGTAAGTTATTGTTTGATTAAAATATAACCTCAAATTGTTTGCTTTGGTTTCATTTTGTTGGAATGATTTTTTTTGGGAGAGTGGGGAGGGTGGGGTGGGTGCCATTGTGGCTTAGTGAATAAGATGTTGGCTTGCTAACCTAGAGGTCCAGTATGCGATCCCTGCATTGGATTTTCCGGCATGGTTCGCCCTTGTCAGTAGTGCAGGACAGAAGGCTTGGCAAAGGAAATGAAATGGGGTTTAACGTCCTACTGTTCTGCTACGAACTGGGCCAATGAAGACGGGCATACGCCATATAGTGTGCTATATCGCATTCAAACTGTCATGGGATCTTTTACGGGGCTGAACAGCAGGGCGTTAAATCCCAGGTTTACCCTGAATATTCATGAGTTTGAGGCAAAATGATCAAGAATTAAACAAGACAGAAATTAGGGAAATCACACACAAAAATACATTCCTTTGACCAGGTAAAGATAAAATACCAAAATGGTCAATCCCATTCAATATTTTTATCAGATGACTGTCATCATGTTGGTCTCTTTGTTGTTAAAGAAATTAGGGTCATCGGAATGTTCAACAAAAGAATCTAGGAAAAAAAGTCACAGGTAAAAAAGTCTCAGTAAAAAAAACACAGTAAAAAAAACACAGGTAAAAAAGTCACAACTTATATATATTGCATTGTAGAGTGAGTATATCTTTGATCTTTTAAGTTATTTGTCTTGGAGTTAATTAGGTTTGGTTAAATATTTTGTTTGTAGCAATGGTACTTTATCTGGTCTTTAAAGCTTTACTTGTAGTTTGTATGTGTATTTTTCTTGCACTGAATAGTCCGATCTTCACATTGCTGTTTCCAAGACACTGTATCAGAATCCACAGGCCTACCTACATCCTATGATTAATAGGCAGAATGGAAAAGAGAAAACAGAGTGTCTCGCAATCACCCTGCAGATGAAGCACAGATCTCCTTGACCAATGTGCGTCTGAGAATGAAGCAGCAGGCATCCGACACCAGAGACAATTTGAGATGTAATAAAAAACTTGTGACATTTTTTCCTGTGTTTTTTTTACCTAGGCAAATTTGTGACTTTTTTACTGTGACTTTTTTTCCTGTGACTTTTTTTCCGCGCACCCAACAAAATGTTTTAGGTTATGAGACAATCTGATTAAAATACAGATCTATATTTCGTTTCGTTTCGTATTTTATACTTTCGATGGCCTACACCTACAAGAAGATCTGACCGGTTGTAGCGATAGGTCGCGTCAGAGGTCATACGAGCGGCTTTTGACCCAATGACTTCAGACATTTAATAAACCGATCAGCATTGATTTTACTAGTGGATTACCCAGATTTCCGAGCAATAGCCTAAAGCTCGCCGTAACAGACCGTTTCATTGGCTAATAGCTCACATCATTCAGAACACGTCAATGATAAAAACTCTTCCAGATCCTAGTGCAATCTGTTTCACAGAGAATTACGAGTCTCGTATAATATCTCTGTCATAGATGACTGCCTTAACACGTGCTGTCACAGCACGCGGTGTGAATCATTGGCTGAATGGCGTGTGCATTGTTTACATAAGAGATAACTGCTTCGGAGAGAATGCTGCATTTTAGTCAATTTAATACCCATTTACACTAAATCGGAAATAATTTTTACCTACAAATACGTCAAACGCCTTTATTTATTTTTCCAATATATACAAAAAATGTTTTAGAATTTAATTTGTCGCAGGAAAAAAGTTAATATTTCTAGCTCATTAAGCCGCATCAATGTCATCCTTATCAGTGATTGTCGCGGCCAAGCATATATTCACTGCGGATCAGTGTGATCCTAGTGTAGTAAAGACAAGTTTAACGAAATTTTGAACTACATGTATAAAAACGAAACGAAATAGGATCTGTGTTTTAATTAGATTGGTCATGGGAAGGCATGGTTACAACGTTGAAGTTAATAGAAAATTACAAGTCTGCATCCTGATGGTCGTTACCGAGTTATCCCCCTTTAGTCTCCAAGGTTCTCCATTTGTCAGTTTCAACATTTCCTGCCAGATTTAACTTCTAAATGGTCGTGCATTCCATAACTGACATTATGGTTTGCTGAGCTCACCAATTCAGTTCCATTTAAAGGTTTGATAGGCGTGGAAATTAGCCAATAACAAAAAATAATTGTTATACGATTATCCAGTTAACGATCGAAAAAAAAAAAAAAAAATCTGTCTGGATAACCAAGAAATCAAGCATGGCCGCCTCCTGTGTCAGAACTGCGATTTTCCAAGCATTTTTGCTTCGGCATTCAAAACGAGCAGTAACCTTGTACGTAAATAGCTGACTATTATTTGTTTTAGATACAGTTGAATTTACAATCGATTGAGTTGACAAAATTTATCAAAGATTTCTACACGTAAAACCATGGACTATCTATTTTGACTTTCACAGTCGCGCCAGTTCAGCTGTGAACGTAAGTGTCATGACACTCGTAGTGTAATGGTACTAACGTTCACAGCTGAACTACAGTCGCCTAACCGATAACGTAAATTCGACTTCTGTTCGGTGTTCAATCAAGATATTTTTTGTTATATATACATCAGCACTTCCCACTGTCATATCATACACTCCATACAGTGTTAATTAAGTCTTTCAAATTACTCGGTAATGTTTTAGTCATGTTTTGTGGGGTTGAATGGCCGAATGGTTAGCGTGTACGCGCTGTAACATAAGGTTTGTCATTGAGTCAACTGGTGGAGTTACCATGATTTTTCTTTGTTCGCCAAAAGGAATCATGACTTGCCACATCCGACACTATTATAATTTATAATAATCCTAAATTGTTTTCGTTCACGATAACATTCCATTCCTAAATTTGGAATATTGGCTAAGCACAGACCATGAACCTGTGACCTCCGGATCAATTCAAACAAATCTTGTTTGCGTTTTTGTATCGCACAATTCTACATGAAAATATTGTTGGATTATTTGCTCTTGGATAAAGTCTGCCGGTAATTTAATTCTCAATATTTTACATAACTAGGTTGCCACACGTTAGAACCCTCAGATATGACGTCAATCACCAAGAACCGACCATCGATAAATCCAAACTATTTGGCACAATTGAAGAAGATGATATTAGAAGATTTAAACCAATTAAAGCAGCTACAAATGATCAAAGTACTTCAGTCTTCTATAGCCCCACATTAGAGTAAGTAAATTTCTTGTGTAAATTTTATAATAGTTTGTTTGTCGTCAGAATAATAATTTATCTATAACATGTAGTCAGTATTATAATTTATCTATAACATGTAGTCAGCATTATAATTTGTCTATAACATGTAGTCAGTATTATAATAGTTTGTTTGTAGTCCGTATAATTTATCTATAACATGTAGTCAGTATTATAATTTATCTATAACATGTAGTCAACATTATAATTTGTCTATAACATGTAGTCAGCATTATAATTTGTCTATAACATGTAGTCAGTATTATAATAGTTTGTTTGTAGTCAGTATAATTTGTCTATAACATGTAGTCAACATTATAATTTGTCTATAACATGTAGTCAGCATTATAATTTAATTTTACAGAAAGTTTATAAATATGGTGATGAAAGATGGTAAAAAAATTGTTGCTAGAAAGATTGTAAATGAGGTCAGTTTGTTTTTAATTAGTCCAATGGGGCTGGTTCTGGGTGGCTGTATGCTTTAACATATACACTTAAACTCATAAGGTCTGTTCGATTCCCCGCTTGTATGTGACAATTAGTAGAACTGACTGTCCAATCTCATGGGTTTTCTCTGGGCCCTCCGGTTTCCTCTCACTGATAAAGACCCCTTCGCGTAAGCGAATTATTGAAATGAAATTGAACCATTTGTTAGTCCCGAAATGAACTAGTTTGTGTCGAGAGGACCGTACCACCCTCTGTCTCTATCTCTCTCCCTACTTTTCTGCTCTGACACCACTGCACCACTTTTAACGTTTAAGGTCTGTGGACCTTAAACCCCATTCCTCTCTCTTTCTCTCTCATCTTAACAGATGTACATGTCCCTATCAGAAAGCCAAATGTCCAGTGTATATGTTTTAATGTATCTTTAAACATACATTATGCAAGAGGTAAATCTGACTATTGCAGGTCTTTCTTTAGGCTTGAAATGTTATAAAACTATTAATTAGACATTTATTAACATAAAAGACCTTAATCAACACTCGATGCCATCTTATGTGTCGGATTTTCACTGGATTTGAATCCGATCTGCTGCTCAACGCTCATTGATGATTAAATCAAAAAATGGATAATCGAGACTATGTTTTTTATCGTACCGACTTTAGTAATGATGATCGAGGATAGGCCTAAAATTCAATCGCTAATATCTTGGTTAAGAATGGATCAATTTGACTGAAATTTTCAGCAAATTCCCTTTACATTATCAAGTTTTTAACTATTATAGTAAGAACTATATCTTTTGTTATCTGTAGTGTTACACCTAATATGATTAAAATACAGATCTATTTTTCGTTGCATTTTTTTTTTATACTTTTGATGGCATGAAGATTGGACATGTTGTAGTGGGAGGTTGCGTCAGGGGTCATATGAGCGGCTTTTGATCTAATGACCTTGTTTTAATTTCCAGATGGTGGAGAATATAAAAATGACACAGGTAGAAAAGTACAACAGGTGTGAAAATGAGACAGAAAAAATGGAGATAGAATGTAACCCTGAAGTTATCTTTAATCAAGCTTTAGAAAATATAAAACCTGTCTTAATGTTGACACCTGTTATTAAAGGAGGTGTGTCTTACAAGGTTAGTTGAAATTGGGCTGCTCTGTCCGTTCTCGAGGGGGGTGGATGGCCGAATGTTTAGCGTGTGCTCGTTGTATCATATGGCAACGGGGGAGTTACTCGTGTTTGAGGGGGGTTGGATGGATGGCCGAATGGTTAGCGTGTGCTCGTTGTATCATATGGCAACGGGGAAGTTACTCGGGTTTGAGGGGGGTTGGATGGATGGCCGAATGGTTAGCGTGTGCTCGTTGTATCATATGGCAACGGGGAAGTTACTCGGGTTTGAGGGGGGTTGGATGGATGGCCGAATGGTTAGCGTGTGCTCGTATCATATGGCAACGGGGAAGTTACTCGGGTTTGAGGGGGGTTGGATGGATGGCCAAATGGTTAGCGTGTGCTCGTTGTATCATAAGGTCTGTCATTGAGTCAACTGACGTTTAGATTCCACGGTTGTACGTGAGAAGGAGTAGGGTCGCCTGTCCAACCTCATGGGTTTTCTCTGGGTCCTCCGGTTTCCTCCCACTGCTAAAGACCCCTATGCGCATGCAAATTATTGAAATAAAATTGAACCATATGTTAGTCCCAAAATGACCTAGTGGATGTCTAGTCATTCGGATGGGATGAAAAACCGAGGTTCCATGTAGACATTGGCGTGTAGGTAACAACATCCTTGACCGTTTGAATTCTAAATAAGAGTAGGCTGTAGCATGGCTGTCCGTAAAATTTCCCGCATAGCACACTGCATAAGGTAGCACTTTAAACCCCATTTTATTTCATATTTCCAGGTACCCGTTGTTTGCCCCGAACATCGTCAGAAGTTCCTAGCCATGAGATGGTTGGTGGAAAGTTGTCGAGACAGAGAACGTAAAATGCCCATGGGGAGAAAGTTAGCGTATGAAATATTTGATGCTTATAAAAATGAGGTTAGTTGAAATAGAAGAGTTTTGAGTGAAACTGGGAGATACTGGGATCTAGTAGTGTAAATAGTCGTGCTGTTTTACATGCAGCCACAGGTCTAACAGGAGAGATGAAGTTGTTTTGTGTCGCTCTAGCATTGGCCATACTTTTTTAACACATATTTTCATCTTAAAGCAGAGCCTCAACCAGAATGTGAACATTGTCATGTCCCTTTGACAGTTAAGTACATATTGATTGAGTGCAAGCATCTCAAGGATATTAGATCACATTTTTACATTGTCAGTTATTACATCACATGTTTGCCCAACCAAGTTTATATGGGAAAGTGTTAGACTTTTTAAAAGAGACAGGTTTTTATCATAAATTTTAATTTGTATTTATATATCATTTCATTTTTGTATTTTAGATAGTTATATGCATAAAAGATGTATTTTATTTTTAATGTTACTTACTGTGATATTGTTTTTATTTATGCATGTAATTTGTTCTGCGATATAATTTAGCCTGTCTCGAAATAATCCCCATATGTTTGGCACAATATATCCCGGTTGGAGCCATTAAACAACATTTCAATCATTCATTTACATGCAGCCATGACACTGTAAAGTTCCTTGTAAAGGAACATAACTGGGGATATGCTAAATTTAGCTAAATTAAATCTGCCACCGTTAGATTTGATGATTTCTGTTAAAAGTGCATGTAAGAGAAGGCAAATATCACTAGAATTTGGGTTTCATGTAGTTGTGCTGTATTTAATGTTGGAAAGCTGTTCAAATTCATTTAGAATCATAGAAAACCATTGGGTTTCTTCTGTTGTGTAGTTTAAAGGGTCTGTCTAGATTAGATAATGAGTGTTAGGTTTATAATTAAAAGTCTTTTTTTTGTCGTTTTCAGGGAAAATGTGTAAGAAGGAAACAGGAATTATTACGCCAGTGTGAGGAGAACAGAGCATTCGCGCATTTTAGATATTGATGCCGACATCTCCGTTAAACATGACTTGATAGACATTGCTTTTAAATGATCTGTGCATTAAACCAGAAACTATTAATTACTTGAAGTAAACAGACTAATGTATCTATCTATTGACGTGGATTTTCCAGAGAAAGAGTTTTTACCATTTAAACATACATTATGCAAGAGCTAAATCTGTCTATTGCAGGTCTTTCTTTAGGCCTGAAATGTATTTAAATTTATCAGCTCTGAGACAATATTTATGCTCATTTAGGTGCATACATGCTAAGAATTAAGAGTGGAGTAAGGTCAAATAAAAATGGATGCAATAGGCCTATATGCTTCACAATTTTGTTTTTTCAAGGAGAATGGAGAAGAAGAAAAATGTTCTACACAAGCAGTGGAGGCTCAGGACACCCCCTCCCCCTCCCCATGGACAAGCACATATTACTTGAAGCTTCAGTGGTCTTACTCCTGAATTTGCCTTGGAAAACCATGAATGGTCTACCTAACCTGGGAATGGCACTGGGTCCATTGCATAACAGCTAGGGGAGGTAGGGGCACAGTGGGCATGATTTCTTTTTTTAGTAAATTAGCCAGAAGTGAAATCCTACAGTGAATCAAACTATGTACTCAGTTGAAGCCAGTCGTATCAGGGGCGGATCCGGGGTGGGGATTTGGGGGGGGGGGGTCGGGTCCAAACCCCATGCACCCTGCTCAGCTGCATAAAAAAGATTGTAAACAACACTTTATGAGAAATCTGTGCTTTATCCTGGTGGGATAGTGGGATTTGATTGGCTTTCAAAGCGCGAAATAATGATATAGACATGTGTGATATCATAATTAATGCTTTGTGTCAATGAAATTTTATCACAATGTGATCCTATTCATTCATTATAAAAATTGACGTCAAACGGGGTGTTTGATTTTTCTCTTTTAAAAGCTCAATGTATATGTATGCCTACGTAATTTAGAGACGATGATGGCAACTTTCCTAAACAGGAGCCTGGCAAACTACCTCCTACAAAAACTCCTGGATCCACCTCTGCATATGTTTGATTTAAACGACATGAAATGAGGTTTAACGTCCTACTATTCTGCTCAGAATTGGGCTAATGAAGACGGGCATACGTCATACAGTGTGGTATGAGTGAAATTTTGCCCGGACAGCGGCACTTCTGCCTACTCTTACATCGAATTCTAACTGTCAAGGGATCTTTTACGTCCTGCATCACTGACAAGGGGGAACCACGCCGGAAAATCTGGATGAACTTTCTCGGCCAATGCAAGGATAGAACACCCGACCTACAGGCTAGAAAGCCAGCATCTTACCCACTTAGCCACCGTGACCCCTGTTCGATTTAACAGTGCTGTTAAGGAGTTAATAATTTGAAACCATTTTTGTGTAGATCATTGCAAAACCGAAAAAAAAATTGACCAGTTTTTGGGTACACCTGGTCACACTATTGGAAACAGTTAGCCATCAAGTATGTTTTTAAAAACAGATGTATAGTAAAGACATTGAAACTCATAAGAACTGTAAAAACTAAACTTTTAGTTCAAATATGAATTTGTTTTAAGACTTGAACACAGATACCCAGCTAAAAATTTCAACAAACAGTTTAACATTGAATACGAAATTTAAACTGGCGATTTTTGTTTTACTTTCTGGTCTGTTTTGAAATCACAATTTGTGTATCTCATAATTTGTATAAAATTGGAGCAAGAGAGTGTCGGACGTTTCTCCTTCTGTGTTACAGATCGTTTAAGGCAAAAAAAAAATGAAACCGTTAAATGTAGAGCCGGGAAATTATCATTAAATTAAATAATAATATGGAAAACTTGGTGGTCGAATTCCGTAGAATTTATTGGAGTTATTTCCCTTTAACTGTATTTCCGCGCTTTCGTGTGTAATCTCGATCATCACGCCCCTGGTTGAGGCTAAGTTGGCGCCCTTTTTCGCGTCGTCTGCTCTTTGAATTTTCGTCAGGGTACATAAAATCAGGGTCTTCTATGTCCAGATAAATTAAGCTTGTCTTATCACATAAATTATAAATAGTGTTTATTATTAGCGATGGTCCTAGCGTAACCAGTCACCAGAAATTGGGAGAAAAAGAAGAAAACGCCGTCAACATTTGCAACATTTGGATTTGTACATCTGAGACTGAGTAGGCCTACTACTTAGCCTAATACGTAAAGTACTGGTACTAGCCTATAGACCTAGATGTTTATAATTTATAAAACAGGCCTACATCGAAGTTACTAATCATAGTCAAGAGACAAACCTACACGACAGCAAACGGTAATAGAAGATAGATAGGCCTATATATATATACACTACGGACACGGATTCTAGAACTTACAATATTGTCCATTGTCTTAACATTGGGAGTATTATCATAATTTATTAGTAGAATTAAATTTAAGCAATTCATAGCCTTAATTATAGAGAGCTAAAATTAAAATTTGGACCTAGTAAAACTGTAAAGTTATCTCTAGGTGTCTCCCCCCCCCCTTGCCTTGCTTAATTAATATTAACCACGAAGACTGCGTTCTACGTCTAGGCCTAGTTCTATTTCATGCGCTCAAAACTGTTACCTTCCGAACTAGGCTACCGTAACCCTAGTTGAGTAGTTCAGTGACTAGGCCTACTCTTTAATCTTGGCCCTCGAGATTTCTTGGTTCAGTGACGACTCAAGAAGGCCTTAATCATACTAGAGCCAGTAGAGGAGAGGTGTATTGTCAATATATTATAGTATATATATACACCTCCATGGCTTTAATCTTGGACTTCGGGATTTCTTGCGTAGCCACTCTGGTTCAGCAATCAGTGAGTGCCATCTTCTTGGTTTCCCCTTTAGCTCTTGTCTGTGCCAGTGGTGCACAACGAGGATGGGGGTCTTATAGTCGTTATGTTATTGAGGACGAATATTAGATTTCTCAAATCGCCCAAAAATTCGGGGCATTGGGCCTTTGACTGGGGACGTAATGCTCCCCAGACCCATGATTGTTGGTCTACTCGTACCCTTCCGACGTAGGATCTTTTGTCTTGATTTTGCGACAGGCCGACAGCCCAGTCTGCAGAGAATGTCCGGTTCACACAGTGACGCACGAGTAATTTTCATCAGAGATCGGTGCACGCAAATTTACTTTAGATTTGCACGCCAGTGTGGCACGACATTTTTACCTTGCACCAGCGACTTTACTTTAATCAGTACTTCTAATTGTCATTTTTTCTGTATACGGTAATCCGTTTTCGATCCGTATAACGATAATCGACTGCTACAAAAATTTGTTATCTGAATGCCAAGATGAATAAATACTAAACAAAAAAAATATAAATATGCTGTAGTTTCGGTACTGGTGCGCCAACCACCAAGAAAACCTAGAACGGGCATTAAAAAAAATAATATATATTAGCCTAATTGGTTTACAATAAACAGCCAGGAAATGAATTGAAATAAAATGGGATTTAACGTCCTACTGTTCTGCTTCTAAACGGGGCTAATGAAGACGGGCATACGCCATACGTTGTGCTATGAGGGAAATTTTGCCTACGGCCTACTCTTATATCGATTTCCAACTGCCAAGGGATCTTTTACGTGCACGCCAATATGTACACGGGACCTCGGTTTTTCGTCCCATCCGAACGACTAGACAGCTCCCCTTGTCAGGCCCTCCGTCCTGCATCACTGACAAGGGGAAACCACGCCGGAAAATCTGGATGAACTTTCTCGGCCAACGCAGGGATCGAACACCCGACCTCCAGGCTAACTGGCCAGGGTCTTACCCACTTAACCACGTGATCCCCCAAAACAACCAGGAATAGAATGGAATTTAGGTCTTATCAAAGATGTATTATTGACAGAGAAAAAAACCCAACAGAACAATGAAGCCCACAAAATCAGTGCAAAAGTGTAGCAACCTCAATTGAAGCACAAACGCATAATTTCCAAACAAACAAGAGGTTTATTCCTTGGAATTTCTGCCTAAATAGTTTGTAACTTTTAATTGTTGATACTTGTTTTTGATTATTTTAGAGGATTTGTCGACGATTGTCATTTACAGATAACCATAATAAGTTCAAAGTTCAGAGAACAAATATTACCATTGCCAGTCAGCACGTCAGTTATTTGCTCAACCGGAGCTATATGATAAATTGATAGGATTTTTAAAAGAGACAAACTTTTATTCAAAATTTTAATTGTATATATTTTATCATATATTACCTTTTAAATATTTATATATGTAAAGGAATTGATATATTTATTTTTAGTTATATTTTCTGTGATATTTGTTTTTATTTACACATGAATACATCCTTGTGATATTGTTTTAATTTGTCTCGTTAAATTCACGATTTGTTTGGCGCAATATATCCCGGTTGGAGCTGACATACCATTAAACAACATTTCATTTCATTTCAGAGAAAAGAACGGATTGTATATGATGGAGTTTTTTGTAAGTTCGCCATGAGTTCAGTTTTCTTTATGGGCCTATTATTCCTCTCAGTCAGTCATAGTTTAGTACTTATTCTAGGAAAAGGCAGAATTGTTAGTTCATTCGTTATAATTCATTTTAATAGAACTCTAAATATGTTCTCGTGTTTTAATAAAATGAAAATAAAGTAAAGTGTCTTAAAAAAGATTAAAACTTCGATTCGAGAGCTGTTCACTGTTACCACGAAATTGTCAATTGTCAATGATTATCCAATAATATAACACGCTTATACCGTGCCATTATTTGATGAGTAGGCTATTATAGTGCTGTCTCTCCTGAGATTCCGAGTCAGACCCGATGCTGACCGAGAACGTTTCTCAAGATATTCTAGTCGGGTTCCCCCTTGTTAGTTTCATTTTATGAATAATTCATGTTCAATGATTGATTATTTCTTGAAGATATAATATATCCAGTAAAATACTGGTTATTAATTTGCTACTTTTTTAAAATTATTTCAGAATAATTTTGATTATAAAAATTTTGATAAAGACGTTCCTGATGATGTTGATTGTTTCTTCACAAAACAACAATTGGAATCTATGTCTGATTATGAGAAGAAAAGATATAAAAACTTACGTCAGAATTTTGAAATGATGAGATTAATGGGTAACTGATTTTAAAGTCATATTCGGGTAACACCAGAACTCCCCAATTCACAATCTTACATGTAAGTGGGTAAGACGCTGGCTTGCTAGCCTGGAGGTCGGGTGTTCGATCCCTGCATTGACCGAGAAAGTTCATCCAGATTTTCCATTGTGGTTCCCCCTTGTCAGTGATGCAGGACGGAGGACCTGACAAGAACAGCTGTCTAGTCGGTCGGATGGGACGAAAAACC